TGTCGCCGCCGATCACGCACGCTCGTACAGTGCCAGTATCGTTCAGGCATACAGCCGGGGCAACGTGCTCGAGCTTGTAGCTTCGGATTCGCTCGCACATGAAGTGAAACGAAGTACAGGGAAATGTTTTTACCATACCCTGTTCCACCGTAAGTGTGAACGAATCCGATACTACAGGCAACTACGCGAGCATACCCTGAATATTTTTTGTGCTACCCCAACTAACTATTGGCCTATTCGTGTGGGGCACACCGCACTCGTCCCGTGCAGTAAACTCGTTCCACTTTAGTACACGGAAGGCTGGCGGGGAGAGGAGGAAGCTCCCCTTTCCCCTCTAGCCTTCCCTGTACCACGAACCGCACTGCATCGGTGCTACGAGGGCCCAGACGAATTGGTATATTTTCGGAATCACCTCCCCTTATCCTTTCCGGTACGCTATTTACTATCGCGAAATTCATAATAGTTATTGTGAAATGGGTAAATGAAAATGACGCCAAAACCTACATTCAAATATACCCACGCTTTTCAGCGCCGTGAGTGCCGTCAGTGGCAGGCAGGCTTGCCAGTCGAGCAAGCAGTCTATACACTATGCCAAGCATTCGTTTCGTGCAGGGTGCGCGTTTACTGGAGCGAACTTCCAAAGCGTTCATTTGACATAATGAAATTGCTTCAAAATCAGTTGGCAACAAAGTCTACAGTCCAAAGGGTGAACCCCCTGTCTTCCACTGGCGTCACTTTTTCGTTGTTGCCAGTAGAAGCTTTCAGATTGAAAAAAAAAAAAAAAAAACGGCGAGGGCCAAAATTTGAAATTCAATCACGAGAAAAAAAAAATATATTCACCTAATGTTTGGGATACTAAGTACTTCAGCGATGTTCGCTGCTTAGCACATTTTCGGACAAATCGGAGACCACGAAGAAATCGCCGGAGTGGATGGATGGATGGATAATGGCTATACCCTTTGCGGCGTAGGCGGTAGCTTGCGCCACCTAGCGTTTAAACAACCCTTTCACTTCACCAGTGCGCGTGCATAGCAGACCCGATCAAAGCCCGCTCTGCTCACTTTCGAGCTTCTTCGCTGTCAGTCACGACGACACGAACTACCTCCGAGGATGGAAACGTTGAATAATTTCCGAGCCACCAACGTTCAGTCCACGTGGCCAACTTTCGGGGACATTTCTTCGACTAAATCTTTTTTTAGGAAATTTCCGAATTCTAATTGATTTGCGTTCTACGATACCCGGGCAATTACAGCGATCGGGAACATTACGACCTTTTGTCAAGAAAAACAAAATTTATCATTTTGTCACGCAAGCTATAAAATTCAATGCAATAAAAAAGACAAAAAGAACTTTGTAGAGCTGTGGAATAACAACTAGACGCGCCCAAACAGTTTAATTACTGCTTATGGACATTTCATGACTGTCAACTAAAATATTCCCGGGGGAAAACGTTGCGATGTCTGTTGTTGTTCCGTTGAAATTCTCCTTTTATTGCATTTCACAGACAAGCGCAGAGAGAAGGATGTCCAAGAAAGTTGGGTAGGTTTTCAAAGAGCAAGGTCATCTCGTTTACTCTGAAGCACATATAAAAAAAGACAACAAGACACAGGTTTCCTGTATCTTTATGTCTTTGTTTATTTTATTTAAGTCTCTTCGCTCCCTCGTTTTTGTTGCTCACAAGTTACAACTCAGAAAAGTCTTCGCAGTCTGCGCAACTTTTCGCTGCTGGCTCAACTCTCGCAGTTCTTGTCGTAAGGAACAATCGTCAAAAACCCGCGCGTGAGCTCCCATGGCGCATGCGCGGCCGGAGCCTATCCTCGCAACCGCTGTGCTGCAAGCGAAGCGCACGCAGACGCAGGAAGGCTTTCAACACGACGGTAACGGCGGCAACATCCTGCTTGCAAAAGGCAAGTAAAGCACATAACGATGACCATACGTCACTTTTTGTGTGTGTGTTTTAAATTTGTAATTAGCGGAATGGCTTCATTTTCACCAACATCTTTTACGCGCTATCGACCTCGAACAAAAAGTCACTTGCATTCATTCGAATTAAAAAAAAAATATATGTTACACCCTAAAATACAGCGGAATATACGGCGATCGCGGATCCGAAATAGCTCGAACAGACACGCTAAATCAGCTTAATACATTTTGCAATCGAAAAAAAACAACAAAAAAAAAACACATGTTTTACATAAATAGAACGTTTTAGTGAAAGGAACACGTTTTAGAGAAAAAATGCTTGGCATGCAGGCGAACTGGTGTTTGTCTCACATGAGCAGAGTTTGAGACGTTGCCTCTTCTTTTCTTCTAGCTGACTTTTTTTTTTTTTTTTTTTACTCTTTTTTATGATAATTTGAAGGTACCCTCACGCACGTTTGAGAGAACGGCTACGCTCCATCCTAACAAACTTCAGCCAAATAAAGGTCTCAGAAACCAACAATTCGTTTAAAAGTGAAAAAAAAAAAGCCGATAAAAAATAAAAACGAAGAAAATTCCATAAAACGGGTTGGATGGAAAACTACGTTCCCTAAAAACAACTTCAGGTAGAAAAAAAGAAAACGTGTAAGATGCATTTTGAAAGTCTTTAACCGATCGCAACGCTAAATTCAAACCACCGACCTCACAATTAAATCACTAAAAGCGGTCCTTACTTTCCGACAACTCGTCAAAAAACTAATCTCAAAAAAAAAAAAAAAAAAAGGCCCGCCCGCTTGTTTTTGTTTTACCACTTCCGAGAGGCAGAAGTTGGGGGGGGGGGGGGGGGGGGGGGGGCAACTGTTAAAAAGGGGGATTACCGTCCCCCCCCCCCTTTTCCCCTAAAAGTTTACGTAGAAAAGTAAAATCTAAAAAAACTTTGCCCCCCCCCCCCCCCCCCCCCCCCCTTTCCAAAGAAATAAATAAATAAATTTCCGCGGGTCCAACGTGTACCGGGTCAGTGTTGGTTTCCCTTCAGCTTCCAAGCACTAGGCGAAAAGAGAAGCCAAGTTTTACCTGATGCGATAATCCGCTCATGGTTTCCCCCGGGCTGGCAAAGCGCTCAGCGAGCGACCGAGCAACCTAAGCAACGCCGGGCGCGAGAGCGCTGCACCACTAACACCACCAATCCGGTTCACAGCAACCACAAAAACAAAACAAACCTCGCGCGGAAAAAGAAAAAAGCGCCGGTAATACGTAATCTACGTAACGGAGTAGCCAATCCGGTGCATAACCGGCACCACGGATGTCACATCCCGGTTTTTGTTCTTTTTATTTCTCTGTCAACTTCCAAGGCCGACGCCGGCGACTTCTTCAGTTTAGGCAGCGCGCCAGAGACGGCACTACTTTCTTTTCTGGTCAGGTTTTATTTTTTTGCTCGCAGCAGATCCGGTGCACTTATGAGGCAGCAGAAGCGAGCAGCACAGTAGGAAGAACGCGCAGTGAGACAGAACCAGACACGTGGATGAACGAATCGATGAAACATCAATTAATGCGGCCACTCAAATATGGCGGCGACCGGTTGCACGCGGTTGCCAGGCTAGCTGAGCGACAACCTCTCGTTGCCAGCTGTTTTGGCGAAAATACCACTTTTCCACCGCACATCTGATTTTTCTTTTATTTATTTTTATTTAGATTTGTATGACATACAGCATGAATGACAACCTACTGAATCTAAAAAAAAAGTGTCATTTTTTTTTTTCAAAAAGTTTATTTAAAAGTTGCATATTTTTTAAATCTTCTGAATTTAGGATAACGGTTTCTGGACTACGGAAAGAGTAACTTGTAAGTAAAAATAAGTTGTCCTCAATATTTCTGGGTCTCTGAACAAAAAGTTGTGATATTCCACTTATGGCACTGTTTATCACAACAGTAATGACTTTACAGTCTAGAGACAGTTCTAGTGCCGTGTAATCCTGACACAATAGTCGTATCGGAGACTATGCCAGAGAGGTTCTCCTGAACTAAAAATTAACATCTCAACATCTGTATTTTGGTACTTGAGTACCCCTAACATCTAATGGTCATAATTGGAAAGACGATAACAAGGAACACATACCAACATATTTGTAAGGCACCAGTGTGTCCTACGAGGAGGTTATTTCTCAAGAAAAATGTCATGCTCTGACATTTCTCAACAAAATGTCAGAGCATGACATTTTGTTGAAAAATGTCAGAGCATGACCTCAACAAAAAGTACCATGCTCCACACACTTCTGAATTTACACATTTGTGGCATCGTGTGCCCCTAACATACAGTAGTCGTTTTTATAGTCCATGAGGAGAGTTACTCTTGAACAAAAAATGTGATGTTCTAAAATCATTTATATTTTAACACTTGTATTAATTGCTGTCTATATTTAACATATATAATAATGGATTCATTGTCTGCAGTATGAGTTGTAGACTATGAAGAAAAAGCAATGTTTCACAATCCAAACAAAAAATGTAATGTTTGATTCTTGTACTTGAATACTTGTCAACACCCAATGTTTAAGAGTTGTTTTTGTAGTCTATGGAAAAAACTTCCAATGAGTAAAGAAACGGTGCATATGTATTCATCCTTCATGGTTTAAAGGAGCATTAAGGTGGATTTTAAGGTTGTCGTTTATGGCAAAAACTCGATCGATGCGACCTAAGCATCCTAGAAAACCCAAAATTGCAATCATGTCTGGCCTTTTCTTTCATTAAAACACGTCCCATTGCCTTAAGCATTTTAAAAAAACCTAGTCATGCATCGCTTTTTTCACTGAAAAACGCAAATAAACATTAAAACACACACCCTTTATCAGAGATTTATCTCAGAAAAAGGGGCGTGTCGCAACGTTTGGTTGTCTTTTTAATAGAAAAACAAGGCCCTGATGTTAATTGTAATTATGGGCTTCCTACGATGCTTAGGGCACTTTGGTCGAGTTCGTGCCACAGAAAGAAAATCTCAAGATCCACTTTAGTGGCATTTTAATTCTTTAGGGGCCCCCCTCCCCAAGCCCCTCTCCATATAACGCAAAAATCGGGTCACGCACCTTCGGACGCGGGGTCCCGGTCCCTTCTTGCGGATCCAGGTCCATGGCAACGCTCCGTCCGACCTCTGCAAGACCCAAACACGAGGCACGGGGTCTACGGGGACTCTCACCAACAAGCAAGCACGATTCCGACAAACAAAGCCAAGTCAAACTACCCAACTTCGAAAACTAAAGGGGGTCTACTATAGACCCCTTCAAAAATTACGCCGTCTTATGGTCTACCCGAAAATTCTACAAAGTGGTATGCACAAAAAACACCAACAAGCTGGCAAGTCAATAACTCATATAATAATCACTTCCAAGAGACTGTGTACAATTGATAGACTCACCATCGTTTATGATGTTTTTTGTGCGCGCCACTTTGTCGTGTTTTCAGATTGACCGTAAGAGGGCGAAATTTATGAAGAGGTCAATACTTGGGGGACAACTTTCTGTGGCATTTCAGAAGAAGCGAAGAGTGAGCAAGCACAGCTTTGGTCGATGCATGAGTGCCCATAGGTTTGACTGCATGGACACAGAAAGTTGTCCCCGATTAGAGAACCATCAAACAAGCCAAGCTTCAGAGTAACGACATGTCGGCCATCTTGTTGCTCAAAATCATTGTTGCCAGTTATCCAAAACCTAAAATCGCAAGAAACGCTTTTCCGTCATCTAGAAACGTTAACATATTTCGCGACGAGACGAAACTGCAACGTCCGAGTCTGCCAACACTGTGTCTAAAGCTCACGAAGTCACATTTTCTGCTCGTAACCATCACCGATTGTGCCCGCTCTGCATTAGGCAACAAAGCAGCGGCACCCACAAGAGAGTTGGGGAACGGAATGCTGATACCCTGAAGCACACTTTCTTTTGGTGGCTCTAGGTGGACTGAACACACAAAGGGAAAGGGCGTCTGCCGGCAGGGAAAGGTATAACGTAAGTAGTTCCGACGAAGAAGCTCTGCAGGGAAAGGAAAAGACAGTAAATCTAAAACTCTTTAAAGATGGCAAACATAAAAAAAATTTTCTCTAGTGTCTGTAGACCCCGGATTCCAGGGAAACTAGGGATTCCCTACCATCCCTGCAACTTGGGAATTTAGAGACAGGAGAACTTCCCTAGGTTCCCTGAAACTTGAGTTCAAGAGACGCTAGGAAAGATTAACAATAATAATAATATTAATCTTCATTAATTGGAAACCTGTAGTTAGGTGTTTGGACTGTAAGGCTAGATGTCTAGGCTACAGCCTGCACACATAGCTTCTTAAAGGGGACCTCCGCCGACTTTTCGAGCTACCTAATCCAAAGGCATAATCTGAATGCGGATGGCTTCCCGATTCCGAAATGCTATCTTGTTCTCCCGGATTCACTCTAGTTAATTAAAAAAAGTGATATTTTGTTTGCTGCCGAAACCGGAACATCGTTCTCCCTAGTTTTTCTCCAGTTTTCCCCGCCGCCCAAACGCGACGTCACTTGTGTGCAGCAAGGCGCGCGGCCAGCAATCGGGTACGCTCGCGCCCGCCTTTCTCGCATCTAACAGCAAGAAAACCTGAGCGTTCGTGCTGTTTGAGGTTGTTAATTATATATATTTGCACAAAGTATGGCCTTGGCCTATGTGCATAACTATAAGAAAGTAAAAAAAAAAAGAAGAAAAACGGGAGCAATTGGAATTTTTATAAAACCGTTTTTGCAACTCGCTTCGCTCAAGCCGCGGCTCGCTAGTTACGCGATATCGCTAGTAAATCCGTTCTCTTTTTATTAGAAGATGGCTGGCGAAGAAAGGTCGAAGAGTCACACAATACATTTTTTGACGAACGGCCAACGCACCGCGGAAAATGCTCGGAATGTGGGTACAGATGCCGCACATGCCGCATGACCTGAAGAAATGTGCCATTTGTTTTAGATTCTCTTTTGAAAAGTTACTGTTGCACGCGTCAGCATGTGTAACTACTCTTGTGGCATGAATTTGCTCCTTGGTGCTTAAAGACTGACGACCAGTTCGCTCTTTCCACTTTTTCCTTGCTTCCTTCTTTCCCCCCTTTTACCCTGTCCACCGTTGCCTCTTTCCTCCTCCCCCTGGGTGGGGAGGATCTTCTGCCTTGCAGAATCTCGAGCCTGGACGTCGGCCTTTAAGTAATTTAGCGAAAGATCTGTAGACCGTTTCTCAAATGCGCTTCTGGCCGATGCCATTTTCAGCGTTCGTGTGTGGCGTGTACTTTGCTTGTTTTCCAAAGCGACGAACATGTGTGTGCTGGGCTGGGACTTAAGACTTGTAGACTGCGATTCTCATAAACAATGAAATGTACAGAATTGAATGAACTGCATTCGTGTAGATCAGATGGCAGGTCACTGGTCATGAAGATCGTCTTAAAATGACGATTAAAAGAACTTCGCAACCACCAAGCCAAACATCAAGGTGCAATGGAATGCGTATAAAATACACAAATACACTGTTCATCTCCAAATAAAGAAGATTTGATTGAAGATACAATAGTGTGTGAGGTACTTAAAAAATGTGTAACCATATTTTTCTTTTTACTTTTGGAGTAGAATGCAATGCGTTCAAACACCCATCCACGAGAGCACATGAGAAGGGGGTAATTCTATATAAGACTTCTTTTTTATTAAAATTAAGTTGGTTTAGCACAGTTTCCATCAGCTGTAAATTTGCATGCCTCCCCTCAACAACATTAATATTTTCACAATATAAAAAAAAAAAAAAAAATCTTTTCAGCTTTATATAAAATTTCTCCGCAATAGAATACATTAAAGACATTCTCATCACTTCTTCTGCAGAAAATATTGCACGCCAACCATTTGACAAACCAGGCAAGGCTCTGTCGTATATTAATGAAGCTCAACACCTGTTCCATAAACCTCTGTAATAGCAGAGAGGAATAGCAATATGTCGAAAGTCATGTCCAAACTCAGACTTGAACTTTGTTTAGACATTTCACTTCTCGTCCTCAACATATCGGCCGCGTGAGTGAAACTCCGAGAGTAGCCCGAGCTAGACTCGACGTCCGAAACAAATATAGTGTTTATAAAAAAACTTTAAAAAATCACTGAGTCAATTGTGAATAACAAATGTGGCTGTGCAAAATGTTGACTATAGTGCTAGATTGTGTACTATATTTCTCTATATTATTAGCGCTCTTTGGACGGATGTCGTAATGGTCACAGATGGCTTGAGTTCATGCGTGCCGCTCTTGAAGGTGTTCCAGCTGCTGAAAGGATACTCAACTCTCAGCAGGCGGCTATAAAGTATTCCGAGCAAAAGTGAGAATGGTTCACGTGACACTATAATTCTTGGCGCACAGCTCTTGCAAAAGCACCTTGACATGGCTGGCCTCCATTGCTGCCGGGGAACGCTTTTCTTTTTCTCTCCCACGAAAACAAGGGTTAAAAAAAAAAAAGCTTTTTCCCGGCACTGTTTCTACAATCTATCGCGGAGCGCAGATTGCTACCCATTGCAAAGGAACTTTCAACCTTGAAGCTGCGAAAAAATTATCTCGATCGCAGGCATCCGGAAAGCCACTTCGCGGCTGCCTGAGTCGCTCGTCTGCCAGCACATTCGTGACGTACGCGGGTAGGGAAAAGTAGAGATTTTTCATTGTTGCCAGTAGAAAGTTGCCTCCTGGAACCCTCGCAGCCGGCGTGACTTGAAAGTTCAATAACTTCACGGAAAATATTTATTTTTTAAAAATATTTTGGTTATCAGTTGAGAAAGGGTCATTGATGCGGTCTGCAAATTTCCAGCCAAATCGAAGTCTACCAAAAAGTCGGCGGAGTTCCCCTTTAACTGGCCTCTCAGGATAAAAAAAAAGAGGATAATTAAAATAATAAAGGCTCCAAAGAGGATCTGCCACTCTGAAATTAATGAGGCAATGGGTATGGCTCAAATGGGGTCAAAGAGGGAATTCATGAGCAACTGCTGATCAAAGAGAGCATGTGTTGTTCAATGCTAGACAACCTAATCTTGCTTTCTGACGCAAGGGGAGCCACCAGGGGGCACAACAAAGCAAAGGTAACAAAACAAAGCCAGAGCTGTGGCATACGAAGACATCAAGACGGGGTAGAACGCATCCATCAAACGGATGCGTATAACCGAGCCAAAAACGACAGCGATCGTTCAATGACGCTGGACAGCTCGGAAGAAGCAGACTCCTCCACGCACCCAAGAGGTTCTTGCGGAACGCAGCCTTACGAGACTGCAGGTCTCTCTTGGCAGCATCGACGTCTTCGAACATCAGTTTTGGCACCTGGAACATTGCAGAAGGCCACCCCGTCTCGTACTATAACCTCCTCGTTGGTGCTCGCACCGAACCTTCAGTAAATGAATCAATTCATTCATGCAAAACTCATTCCATCCTCATCTTCAATAGGTGCAGAGCCTCACGGTATGGTTCACCACCCTTCGTGGGATGTCATACACTGGTTTGACGTATGTAAAATTATTCCTATCAGTATATTATCAACCAGTCAGCCAATTAATTAATGTGTCAATCATTCGATCAAATGATCAATCTTATAGATACTTAAATTAACACTGTCAAACAATCAATGCATCAGTTATACCCATTAATTAACCAATCAATCTGCAAACTATTACTCAATCACCCAAATGATAAATCTACCAATCACTTTTATTTGTGGCCATCAACAGCAGCGACCAACAATACAATCTTGTCACGACTGCCTTACAGTTTGTGCAGAAAATCAATGCAAGATGTAATTCTCTTCTTATCAGCAAGCTCAAATAAAGCATAGATGTTTTAGAGATAATTTTAATTCCCAAATTATTAATAAACTGTGAAATGTTGGGGAGAAAATAAATTTCAGTTGGTCGAGCTCCATTACAAAAAAGAAAGTATGGTTATAAGAAGGTAAAATACAGAATGGGGTTGGACTTTAATAAACCAAAAAGATTTAATGCGACAAGCAACTCGTGCGACATAAACTGATAAGGTTTAGTTTCAAGTTCTCTAATGCTCAAAATAAGAGTAATGCACAAACAGCTTTTGTAGACAATACATTAGGACCTCTCTATAGTAAAAAGAGTGCCTCAAATGCCTGTGGTAACAGTATTACAATCATCCTTTAACTTTGCTTTACTTCATATACTTTGCTATATTAGACTTTATAAACAGGTTTCGCTGTCCTGATATTTAAAAAGACTTGTGTCCCAAAACACTTAATTTCTGAGCCTGACCAAAATACTATTTACAGTTATTCACATTCTCATATTACCAAAAACATTAGTTATGCTACATATGACAATTATTAAAAATGCAAAAAAAATAAGAAACAAAAATATTTTTTGATGAAATAAAAGCTTTACAGCGATGCATGAAGCACTTGGAGCATCAAGAATGCATAATCTAGGGAAATTACGCAAGCAGCACATGCAAATTTATGCTTTCTAAGATAGAACCTCAGGCTGCACATTTCTGACATTCTCGCACTACGATATGTAAAAAGGTTTCTAAAAAAAAATGAGTCTTGCAAGAAGCACCTCCCCCCCCTTTACTGTGTCATGGCGTCAGCATAAACAAACATGGCAGCGCCCATGGAACAGAGCAGATGCTCTTTTGAATGTGTCTGCTCTCTTCCATGGGCACTGCCATGTTTGTTTATGCTGACACCCATGACACAGTAGGGGGAGGGGGGGATGCACTTCTTGCAAGACGGTTTTTTTTAGAAACCTTTTTACATATCGTAGTGCAAGAATGTCAGAAATGCAAAGTCCCAAAGCTCCAAGAACAGACCGATGCCAAGAGTGCTGTAAAAAGCAAAAATCTTGCTTTATGCGCAGCCCCTCTCTTCGCAAGAGCTTGTGTTTGAGATTATTATTCCCCATTTGTATTGCTGGGGGCTAGGATTTCGGACACTGGTCTATACTGACCTGAGGCTTGGCACGCTTCCGCACAGGCTCGGAGCTGAAAGAGAAGGAAAGGAAGAGGAAGCCCAGGTAAGGCCTTCAGAAGAGCCCACCTCTAAATGCAGATTTCTAAGCACTCGCTCTAAAAAACAAATTGCCACAGAACAAGAATCTCCGCGAAAAACGGTATAAGCATGTCTCACAGATGTCATCCTGCCGACATGAGTTCAGAACTGAAACTGAATGCCATCAAAGTAACTCACTTCTGTCAATAAAATTCACGTGCAACTTTCAAGACATCAAGCTCCGAGTTGACAGCCAGTTGAAGGTAGTAAAAGCCGTCGTGACAATAAGCAAAATTTCCGCGCCAACGCGTAAACTGGATTTCTAACGGCTGTGGTGGCTGCACTTCCCGACAAACTTTTTTTTTTTTCCCACAGGAAGTAAATTTCCCGCCGCTGCAGTGTGCTGCCATCTGGGGAAAAAACCGAGTGACGCCGCAAAATAAAAAGGCGTCTTGACAGCAGGGTTGTTAAGAGTCTCCCTTTTCCGCTACTTTTCTCCCAGCACGTACCTTCCTTATTAATTTTTAGGAAGACACACAAAAGACTCACTCAGTTCATGCAACTATTTTGAGTAAACTCTTTTGAGTAAACCGTCCGAGTGCACACCTAATATAGCTCATTTGGACAACACGCTAAAGTATAAGGTACGTTTCGGAGTCACACCTCACTCAAAACGAGCCTAACAATGTAAATATTGCGCTAAATGTTTTTTGAAAGGGGGGAAGGGAATTTTATTTTGTAAAAATTTTTTTTGCAATCTAGCTATATAAAAAAAATTGTTTCACATTTTTGTGTTTTTAGAAACGATTCTCAAGCATGTTTTTATTGTGGATTAACGTGCCAGAATAGGAGAATTGCTCCTAACTGAAGCAGCTGCATTCACCAGTCGTGACTAACTAGCTTTGTTCTCAAGCTAGTGGCATGTATAAGTAGCGACAAGCTAAGCGTAAAATCGGCGACTAAGGAGCGGGCGACTAGCTAGTCAGGAGTAACTAACAGAAGTGACATAAAAAGGTAGGTCCCGTATGCACATACTTAAACCCCAGCGCGTGAATGGGATTTTATAGTGGAAAAACTAATATTTAAATACCCTATTAGCAAAAATAAAATGTTATGTTCAGAGACTGATTTTCTGGGACAGGGTTTCACAAAGAAAATGAAAAAAAAAAAATGCAAGGCAGAAAACACGAAAGCAGCATTGCCAGCGACATAAAGAAATACGGAAGAGCACGTAAATGCAGGCTTTCTTGTCCTCCTACGCCTTGCTGAGATTGCTTTAGCAGTATCTCTGACCTGTGAACACGTCCGTTCCCACAGTATTTGCTGCTCCGATTCCTTCTGGATCTGTCCCCCAGCGTTCCAAGAAAGCAAGTGCTTCACTAGCACTGGCCGTCAGCCGTGACAGCAGTCGGCCATGGTGCCGATCCGCTAGTCACCCGCTAAACACCGGCTAAACTAGCCGTACGCCCCGATTAAGACTTTTTTTAGTCGCCTTCGAAGTCGCTTATGGTGCCTAACCCCTAAACATGGCTGGTGAATATGGAGTGCTTACGTAGCTGCGATTACCACCTGCCACGTGATCATTTTAATCAATCACATAGATAATCGGCAATTGAACAGGTGTTAAACACATCTGATGAATACGGCTGAAGATGCGTCCTGCAACTTAAATATTGTGCTAAAAATTGTTTTGGGGGGAAAGTTTGTTTCGTGACGTACACGTCGTACCCAGACACTTAATTAACGAAAAAAGTTTCCTGGGCGTTTGGTGTTGCTCTAAAGTGAAACAGAGTAGACCCCCCCATGTGTAGTCAGTACAGAAACCTACGTTACACCAAAACGTGGTCCATGACGCGAGTCGTCCGAAACGACAACACAAATGCGAGTACTTCGCCCAGTTCGAAACTTGTGTCAGTTTAGCCGGGTATCCATATTGACGGGGTCCACGTTAAAGGGATACCGAAATAAAAATTTAAAAGTACATCTCATAGCTTGGAAATGAGCTGAAGCACGATCGACGACATCTGCAAGCAAACATCGCGAGCCCGTATTTTGAACAGGTGGCTATATTTTTCGTTCGAAACAGCCGATTCTAGCGAATGCTCGAAGAGCGGCCGTCGGAGAGCGTGATGCATCATGGAAGACTCGGCGCCGCCTGACGACATTTCGCGTAGCTTTGGGAACATCCACCGGAGCGCAGCCCGGTAGTCGTTTTAAATAAAGTTTTGATGTCTTTTCAAGCAACCGGCTGGTGTCTCTGCGGTGCTGCCGGAACATAGCCAACATTTAGACATTGAAATAGGCCCTGGAATTTTATTTCGGTACCGCTTTAACGAGACGCGACAGCATATACAAGATCATTTTTCCGAACGGTTCGGTCAGTTGGGACACGAGAACAAAGGGACTCACGACTGCGGAGGAGCTTGAGGCGTACTGTCCGTCGTCGCCTCGTCTTCCGTGGCCGCATCCACCAGCTGGCTGTTCCCCTCTCGGATCGCACAGACAAAGCTGTGCGTGCGGCGCCGCAGCAAGGGCGACGTGGCACTCGACGCAACCGCCGCCGGTGTCTTTGATTGGACCAGTGGGACGGGTCCGTTGGGGATGAGCGGAGGGACGGACCGAGGCTTGAATCGAGGCCCGGACTGAGGCTCGGAGCGATCCGTCTGCGACTCGCGCGAAAGCACAAGGGTCTGCTCTGTCTGCGTGGCCCTCGCGATGGTGGCGTCGCGCCCCGGCAACACCGGGCAGGAGAATGTGCTCGACAACCGAGGACGGTTGTCGTGGGAGGGAGGACGGTGCTCGGAGGACCTGTGGATGCATACGGGGAACTTCGTGAAGCACCGAGGTGCGGGCAACCGGGAAGACCCGCGGTTGTACGTGGGGGGCTTTGTAAGGCGCCGAGGCACAGGCCCTTTACAAAAATCACAAAAGCCCGCACGCACCACGCGACGAATAATGGGAAGTTCTTGGTACGGCCCTCCCGTCGTCTTTCCTCCCGCTACCACAAGATCTACGCGAGCAGGCGCAGGTTACCGAGGCAACAACTTTCGAGCAGCCGAGTCGGACGAGCCGACGAGTGCGCGGAAATGGGGGAGAGGTTTGTCTGGCTTGTGAGGCTACCCCTTGCTCATCCCTCTCCCCTCGTACCGGCTCTGTCGTCTGCTACACAAACGCTGCGTCGAACCTGGTCAAACCCTGGCACGGTTGCGGTGCAAAACATCTGGATTCGGTAACACCGCAAAATGTGTAGGTAAGTTACGATGCATTACGTATTTAAATAAGTGAATTGCTTCCCATGCAGCAATGCGCTTACGCTGCCAAAAACACGGTACATCGCCAACGACGTGCGATGTACCGGCGGACGGCCGGGATGGCGGATGGCTGTGACGGCTGCTGGCGGTAGCTGCTGCAACTCACGCACAGTTGCGGAAGTGCATAAAGAAAGTGTGTGATATGTACCGAAGGTTCCCAAAATACCCTGCCGTACGTTTTGCAACAGGTTTATTGGTAACTAGGGGGTGTTATTTTTACTGGAGATATCGGCACCTGCACGCAGCAACCTCAAATCCTCTTGATGGCAGTAGATTTCACAGCAAAAAATTTCGAGGCGTAGCTCCTTTCTTGTGAGAAAAACAGTGCAAAGGGAGAGAAACGCTCGCTCGAAATTACACTGGGCAGGGGGCAAAGCGAAAAACAAGCACAAAATTTAACCGCGTTTAGCAAAGCCTTTGCAGCAACACGAGTACAGCAACTATAGCCATGTGAACCAAAGCCGTCCCCGACCAGTGCGACTCACAATAGAAAACCTGATTACTGAGAAAGATGTAGGCGATTCGATTCCCTTCGGGCGACACACAGTCTTTCAAAAAGACACCTCGTGTCACCCTATATTCCTATCTCGTGTCACATTTCGTGGTGCTCCAGGCTCAAAGACTAGCCCTAGAACACGTTTTGTGCTAAAAGAAGACCAACACCTCTACATTGGTCAATAGCGGTGTCGGTCCCATCTTTTGCACGAAGGGAGCTGCACGTTGAAATTTCACGAGGTAAAATCTACTGCTAAAAGAATTCTTTGGAGAAAAGTTTTAATCCCTGCGTGTAGGCGCCAACATTTCCAGCTGACTTTAGATCAAACTCTGGAGATGTTAATGGCCTATACATTGTAGACCACTTTTCGGCCCAATATTGTAGAGGCTAATGGCAGTTTTCACAGTGCTGCAGCCCTGTACTGCTGCACGATGACGCGCTGCGTCTCATTCGCAAGGGCCCTCGTCCATGGGGTACGCCAGACGAGGCCACGCGCTCGCGTATGTACCTAGCCTCAACGCTGAACGGAGTCGCAGCACTATGAAAACTACAATAGCCTCGAAGGTTTGAAACAAAAATGTTTTATGCCCATGCTCGTCGTTGTGGTGATAGAAATACTTCAGGTGGCATAACGCTGCGCCTCCACCAAAGAGCCGTCGTCGCAAAGATCGGCATGAGGCTGTCTATCCTGCCGGCAGGGCACACCCACCAAAGCCATCCTTTCACAAGTGTTAGCGGGCGGCGGTATGCCCCAGGCTACAACGGAGCACAATTTTCTGTGGTTATGAATTTGTTTTTTGTCAGATTTGGCTTCCGGAAGCTGCCGGCAATGGAGAAGTGCTTCGTGCCACGGTGAAACGCGGGACACAGAACGTGAACGGAGGGGCCTTCCCCTTTTTGCTAGTCCCAAAGAAGAAGGCCGCCTTAAGGTATGGCGTAGTGTGATTTCGCGCAAGGACCGCCTCCTGCAGCCGACAGACTTCGTCTGCGAGAGACATTTTGAATCGAGGATTGTGAGAATATCACAGAAAGCCGTCTGCAAGGGCCACATCCTTGTAGGTGCCCCATGGAAAGCTGCTCTGGCGAAAGACGCAGTTCTAACAAAGTTTCCGGGCTACCTTGAAACACCACCCCTGCCCGTTTCGATGTGGGTGTGCATCGTACCGGCGTGCGGTCGTGTATCACTACTGCGTGGTGCACGTTGAAGGCCCCAAGGCTAGCGGTTGTACTGCACTGGCTAAATTGCTCATCTACAGCTGGGAGACTAGTCGCCCGTTGAGGCAGACCAAGTTCTAGGCTCTATAAACATACACACAACCCAATTTTTTTTTTTCCGGGCTATCCCTGCAATTTGACGAAGACTGAGAAAAAAAGAAAAGGACTCGCAGACTGCCAGTACCCTCCTTCTAGCGAACGGCCCTATTTATAGCGCATTCAGTTTTACTTTGCCTGGAAGCGCAAGAGTAGTGCACTGTTAGTTGTTGTTCACCAAAAGTTGCTTGGCCCTAAAGTAAGGGGGTGTTTACATTCTGAATGATATTAACAAATTAGTTCTCTGTTCAAAAACCAAATCCAAAGATTGAACCACATTTTTGCTGTGCCTCTGCCTCGTTGCATTTGTGCACCAAAACTAACGTTCAACGAGTTCTGTCATCAGATCAACTTGATTGGAAAGTTTTGCTAGGGATTTGGGCTTAATGACGCGAAAGAAAAAAAGTATCACGCCACCTAAAAGCGCTTTTTGCAGCGTGTAAGCGTGATCCACGGACATAAGTATTATTATATCCTGAAAAGCATGCCAAAACGCATATTTTTTTCTTTACTTTAAACTAGACTCCTTTGTGCAAACGAGGGAAGCGTTTTGCCTGCAGTGGAGTCGGGGTGTACGTAAGAAGCAAATAGCATACCGTCGCCACAACAGGGCTTTGGCGTCCCATCCAGTGCTGCCAACCTTAGGGATTTTCCCCTAGATCTAGAGATTTCCATCATCATTTAGGGGCAAAGGGAAATTTGTTCAAATCTAGGGATTGTTTTTTTAATGGGTTTCAGAGGGCTTTAGAGACACGTTCCTTCCCTTTTTCCTCCCCGTACCGACTGAGTGCAGTGAGGAAAACGAAAAAAGGCTTCTTTGTATATTGTCGAGATCAGAGATCATCTCCAGGGGTAACAACAACGATTCTGGGGTGGCCACACAGGGCCAAAGAAACAAACTTTAATGATGTAAAAAGGTTTTACAGAAGCAAATTTAACGTTTAAATAGCCACCCAACTACACAAATCTATTTTTAAGCTATTTCATGACGATAATCTATATATCGATGCAAATTAACACTTTTTCTGAAAATCTAGGGAATTTTCCGATAAAAAATTGGGGAAGAAACAGTCGCGGAGGCTGGCAACACTGGTCCCATCCCTCACGATCGATTCTGAGCACTTTGCATGCTGATAGTGCTTGCCTGCTCTGTAAACATTCCAACGTTTATATTGTTTCATAGTCCAGTGCAGGATCTGAACAGCCCAGCTCGTAAAAGTCACTCGTTTTACGAAGAAAGAAGGCACATGCCATACACAAAAACGTTGAAAATGATACCGGCCAGAAGCCCTTTTCTGAAACGGTTAACAGCCTTACATAACATCAAGAGCGTCCACCGCTGCTTCGAAGTGCTTGGTTTAACTGTTGCATTCAGTTTAAAACGAGCAAAGCTTCGCTGCAGTCGCTGAATGGTTCACCGCCCATGTAGGAGACGGCATTCGTAAACCTCGATGACCATGGCGCCCATCTGGTGGCACGCACGAGAAACGAGTGGAGTAACGCCTCCGGAGACGGCGTTACTCCACTTGAGCCTTCTTACACCACTCACAACTTCTTGTTTATACTACACTACAGGTAAACGTTTGCAAGTACGGTCAGAGCACTACCATCTTGCTCGCATGGGGAGTGCTTGGGCGCGTCATAATCCGATTATGATGCCTTGTTAAGGCGTCGTAGTCGAATTATGACGCGCCCAAGCACACCCCACGCAAGCAAGATGGCGGCGCCCCAAGGCCGTACTTCCAAACGTGTATGCAGTTACAAATACGAAACAGTGTCTTTTTGTGCTGTTTATCATTTTAACCATGTAACAACTAGTGCATCTTCATGCCTTACTGTCTGTGAAACTTACAAATTTCCACGGTGTGCGGTGGAGCACCTTGGCTTGGTGGTGCCCACAGTGTCGTACACTTGGTCGTCTGGGTGAGGCCCTGTAACGCAAAAGCTAATATCATGATCTGCATGTCACCGTCAAAATGTAACACCACTTCTGTCAAGGCTCAGAATGACATTGCTGCTGGAGCTGGATAACAGGAAAGCTTGACAAAAGCATAGCTAAATTAAACAACAACTATGAGAATAATGATTTGCGTGAGAACAAGAGAGTCAAGTCATGAGCGATTACAAATACTAACTAGTCATAAAAAATGCTCTTCCAGATACCTGACTACTTTTGTCTTTTCCTTACTCTGTTTTCGGGATCTTCAGTCTTTAACTGGGGATGACTTTGTCTTCGAATTTCTTTAATGTCTTATTAACCTTGGAATGTCAGTCTGGATGTCTTAAACAGTGGTACCTTAGACTATAAAGGTCATTGACCTCATTTTTTTTTTTTTTAATTGGACATTTTAAACTTTAGGTTTTTGATTCTGGGCATCTGGTTGGATGTCATTGACTTGGAACATCTTTGACTTTAGATGTCCCAGACTTCCGATGTCTGAGGCTTTGAACGTCTCAGACTTTGGACATCTCAGACTTTAGACGTCTCAGACTTTGGACATCTCAGACTTTGGACGTCTCAGACTTTGGATGCCTCAGATTCTGGGTGCCTTAGACTGTGTGCATCCTACACCTTAGTCGCCTAGTATTTTTGGCATCTCATATTTTGGTAGGCATGTGCAAATAGTGAATTTTGAGTTTCGGGCAAATTCGAAACAAATAGTGTTTTTGGCCGAATATTTTACATAGAATATAGACTAGCTTCTCCAAGTCTTTCACTAGAGTGTGCCATGCTTAAACGAAAATTCGGCTGAACTCATGAAGGTTGTTTCCGACCTTCCACTCATTCACTTCTAAGCTCAGTTAATTTTAATATAACTATAGTAGTTATGAAGTGTGACAGGTACACGACGGATTTGTCACATCTATCCTAATCTAGGGGTTTATAAATCTGCTTACTACATGCAAATATTCATTCCACTATTAAAAATATGAAAAAAAACACAAAAAAACATGAATGATGAATGTGGGCTGTCAAGACATCGTTGCCTAACATACTTTTTCATAATCGCGACATGTTAGCCCCGTTGAGTGCGCTTCTTGCCAAGCACCTGTGAAATGCGGGGAAGCAGTACCCACGGAGCCCACCAACATTGCTTTTCCACAGTGCACACATGCTTCGCGAGAAGCACTCAACGGGGTTAGCCCGAAGCAATCGGCACTTAGAAAAGTATGAATATCGAAGTTCACCTCAAAGCGAATATTGAGTAGCACATTATTTGAAACTACTATTCGAAAATTCGAATATTCGACACTACATTTTGGGCAAATCAGACCTTGAAAGTCTTAGCGCTTCTGCAGCTCAGCCTTTGCATCTCTCACACTTTGCACATCTTAGACGCCGATCTCAGATGCATCTCCGACGTCGACGTCTTTGACTTCGGATATCCTTTACTTTTCATGTGTCTGACATCTTCTTTCTAGATACCCATTTTCCCACTTTGCACAGAGTCCATCCTCTGAGCAAGGTTGTCCGATACCTCCTCCGCAAGTATCCTAAACTGTCCAGAGAGCCGAGGCCAGACGAACAAGAGAGAGAGAAAGAAACAAGCGGTTTCCCAACCGTCTTCAGAAAATCCACGCCGGTAGAACGCTGCCCTGCGGTCCGCGGCCGAGCTCGACAACGCCGGCCGAAGTGGAAGCCTGGAGCTTCTTGCGTGCTGCAACATCAAACCAGAGCAAAGAATTATGCCTCTGCAACTTACATCGAGCTGCCAACTATTTCATTCTAAATTTAGAAGTGTGGCGTGCATCAATACACACAAAGGGCAGGAAAGTGGGAACGTCTGGCAGCATGCAACAACTACGCTTCAACTGCGAAAAAAAAAAAAAAGAAACTACTCCACTTAACAGGGCCAGACAATTTGCAAAAATTTGGGCTCTCAAAAATCCCTAGGCAGTGCTCAATAAATTAGCAGGATCCCAGCAATGCTGCCCAAGCATCTAGTGCCTTGAACCGATCCCACACTACACCGCATCTTCCTCAGCTTTCCCAAGTTCCAGAGTTGTGGTTAAAACAGTTTTCTCGTTTGCGTTTACCTCTAAGTGATCTTTGCTTTGTGTCCCATATCTACAAAGGTATACTAAAAAGACCAGCAATATGTTACAAACAAAAAAAGCAACCAACGAGCAAAAAACAATAATACTGATCCTCTTACAAGGTAAGTGAGCACCGCCTGGCTCTTGGTGATCTGGCTCCGCAACGCCTGCAGCTCCAGCTCAATCTGCTCACGAACCACATCTTCGGGAAACGAGTACACCTGCGTGTCGTCACATTGGCAGCCGCGGCGATCAGGAATGTGCAGCACATCGAGGTCTCAAAAAAAAAAAAGAAATATGTCAACACAAGTGGGACAGCTTACCGAATCCGGACTGACATCCTCGAGCACGCTGACCAGCCGATTGTCCTGAAACGCGAGGCAGTGCGTTCGAGTCAAGATCTTGTGGGAAACGCTTTCATTGTGCGAGTGTGCAGTGCGATGCAACAGACCTTATGCGAAATTAGCTGCGTCATCCCGTGAACAGAAAAAGAAGCTCGCCCACCGTCTTAATATTAATAAGAAGCGGAGCAGATCGGGTCTGCATGCGTACACGATTGTTCTGTTCATTGCCGGCAAAATGCCCGTCTGCTGCTGCGTGCCATCATGTAAACAACGCGGAATCACAAACAGCAATGGAAACAAAGTATGTGGCACAAAGTTTGCTTTCTTAGTGGTAAATAAAGCGGACAGAAAGTGTCAAAGTCGCCTTGTGCTGCTTGTCCGGCGGACTGAGTGTTTGCAGGCACGCCAATGGAGGGTCTTTAATAGTGCGCGGGGCATAGTGCTTGCACGGAGTCTGCCTAACTGGATGAACGCACGGGTGGAGTCGTGATCCTTATTGCAACGAAAGGCCACAAATAATAGTCCATGTTTTCTCTGTGCTGGGCGACCTCGCGGCTGAGTTAGATGTTTTCAACTGGCTCCCGCTCTTGTCAAAATGGGTATGCTCGCAAAGTTTGATGGGGAATGATATAAATTTTTAATAACTTTGTGTGCCACACATGCAAACTACTACAGTGGAATCTCGTTAATTCAAACTCGCAGATAATTCAAACTAACATGCGGGTCCCGTCCTATTTGTTTCTAGGAAGGTAACTCCAGGTAATTCAAACTTTGCACATTATTCTATCTTTCCTAGGCTACCGAGGGAAGATAGAGTGACCAACGCTCGTGACCCCACGTTCAAATTGCACCTGATTGTATTATCGGGGACAACACGAGCTGAAACAGCCCTTCGTGTTTCTTTTGCCTACCTGCCAGTTCTTGAGGCAGCTGTGGTTTCAACTAGAAATTAAACGCATAGACGCCATACTTTGAACTGTTTGACAAATTTAGAAATTACAAAGCTCATGTGGACCGCAGAATAAGGCCGGATAGGACGTTTCAGCTCGCAGTGCCTGTGTAAGTTTCCATAGCGAAGGCGTAGGACTTGCACCGGCGCTTCGACGAGGTTGTCGCCAGCGGGCACGGGCCTCGAGAGCTTCGTCAGACGTTGCGGTAGGTTGTTTAAACTCTTCGTCCACGTTCCATGGTCGGAAGGCGGAAAACACAGCTGCTGCGCCATCCCCCGTATGGTTCTCTCCGATGCCTTCATCGTGCTTCGGTACCGACGACGCTTGCCAACGTTAAAATGGCGATGCTCTCGGTGTTGTCAGACCACCTAGCAATTTCACATAAAGTCTATTACCTTAAGCTTTTTTTTTTCTGTTTTTGTTTTAGAACTGATGAAGGCTGTTGTCAGAAACTACTGGTCTGGTGGAAAGTGCTCGTTCTGGGCATCGAAGTGGTGGGCGAAAAGAATGCAGAACCGCGACATGCAGTGTATAGTTACGACACTTGCCTGCTGCACTTGAGCCGATATGGAAGCCGGACCTGAAGATAAAAGTTCTATGAGAGAAAACAAAACTACCTACCCCAAAATAAAAAAATAAAAGTGCGGTAAAATGTTTCCTGACGAATGGAAGCCCATTTTCTGAATGCGTGCTCTACTAATACACAGCCATTTTTAAGGCTGCATGAAAAGTGTCTCGATTTATAAGTTCATTACCTCTAATGTCGAGTTCGAGTCTTACGTCAAAGGCTCTTCTTCACGTGGGAGCATGATGTTTACACTGACTGCCCGTCCCTCTTTTCAATTGAAACATTTGGTAAGAAAAGCATGTTGTCTGTGAGCTACTCGAACACAGTCCCCCTGAGCCAAATCCAAGTTTTAAGACCTTGACCCTGACCCAACACAAGGTGAAAGTGCCTACCAGTATGCGACTCCAAGATTCTGACAGCCGCATCATTCAACCTGCAAGCAAAAGAGACGACAGTTGCTAAATTGTCAAGTAATTTGGACTAGAGAACAAACCGACTATAGGGTTCCGTGCTTTCTGAGTTAATTTTCCGTCAAATTCAGAAGGTGTTTTTTCGAGTTCACTTTTTGCCAAAAATTTGGACTTGACAGGAGTTTATCTTTGTTACATTCCCCATTCTCTGAAGCTAAAAAAAAGAAATACATGATATTTGGGTCAAACGTCTGCTAGGTTTACAAGAATGCGCAACTATCAAATAATATTTCTTATGCTAGATTTGGCGTTGGCGCCCTTATCAATACTAATCTGTCTCGGGACAAAACATGCAAACAAGTGTTGCTTCAATAAGTGTAGAAACCTTAAAATCACTAAACTTCCAAAAGTAGTCGAGGAAAAGCTCGTTTTCGTCCCACCTTATTCCATCACCCTACCCCCGCGGCTGCACAGCTTGGAGTTACGAAGGGTTCAACTGCCCCCTTCCCTCCCCCTTTAAAAAAAAAAAATCCCCATGGGTCATAGCTTTTACCACCGTAACAAAAACACAACCCTCCGTTCCTCTAAGAAGCGCGAAAAGTATGGTTTAAACTGGAAACTCAAACAGTGACCTCCGTCGTGACCGAAAAGTATGATGATCTGCTGTCCCAAACGAACCATGACGAGATAAACGGTAAGATTCCTTTGTCCATGATCTGAGATGAGAAAGGAAACTGGGGTGGCACTTTTGAGGACCTTAACCCTTTGCACTGACCAAACTTAACTGCAGAATACTACAGTCTTCTTTCTTTTCTTTCTTTTTTTTTTCGCATTGAGACAACAAAATTTGGAGCTGTTTGGGAATGGCACGCTAACACTCTAAGATTTAGTGGCTCCAATTGGGACTGATAAATATTGCACACTACTTTTTCTGGTGCTTGGCAAGAAAAAGTAATTTAGGTAAACTTCATTTTGAAAGTGACACCAAGTATACTTGCATGATACAATGTTTAGTACAATGTGCATAGAACAGAAACACACTAGAAGCCACATGCCTAGCGTACAACATACTACAACACAGATCAGACGGCATGCATCGTTGGGCATGTGAAGCATGAGATTCCAGAAATCAAAGTGCATGATGGAAAGGCAAAGTGTGTGTTAGAGGCGCTGCTCATTACTGTGCATGCTACCGCATGCTCGGAGCTTGCTACTATAATGTAAAACCTTGCTAATGGCAGAAGTGCAAAAGTGGCACGTCTGGCAGTGTGCATCGAGCATAAAAGAGGTCTCAACAGGGCCCCACAATCATGTTGCACATGAAGGAGAATGAACAGTTGTCAAATGCCCACAAGGCTGACCTGTGTGTCCATAAATCCTAACTTCACAAGAAGTAAAGTACAGAAATACATTCTTTAAAACAGTTACTAGTAAGCAAGAACTAGTGTAAGGTTCTAAACTAGCATACCATACTTTCTTTCGACATTGCTCAACTGTGCATAGGGCTTGAAAGACTTCTAACTTCCCTCTACAAAAGCTCCACTTCAACCCTTGAAGCACGAGGCTTTGCTCGCAATGACAGAAAAAATAAACAAATAAAATGTACCTTTACAAATATGTTAGGCATTGCAAGTGATTCAGCATACATGCAAGGGCAGATTGATAGATTAGCATTCCAAGCTGCAGACTATTTCTTATATTTGTCACTACAATAGGGTAATTTATGAGGCCTTCATAACAACACAAAGGGAAGAGATATCAGTACTTCAAACATACTGTAATTTTCAACACAAAATTATTGTTCCAGTGCTTGAGGATTGGAGACCTGAAAGATGGCTTTGAACTTATTGATACGCAATGCTATATACATTTACAACTGTTGAGAAATTGTGATAAATTTAAGCAATGCAAAGAGGTATACAGGATATTTACCCGATTCAAATGTGACCTCCGTTCTATTGTGCACCCAGTTTGTATACCCAACAATAATGATTCTAGCACGACCACGATAACAGTTTCGCACCCGATTCTAATGCGCGGAAAGTTTCTAGGTATATCTAAAAAAAAAGAAAAGGCGCACATTAGAATCCGGTAATTATGATAAATGCATACCTCAATAACATATTCAATCACACAGTTATACACAAAGCACTCGTGCTGTGCCACATTAAAATTTCAGCGGTTGAAAAAAAAAGGTTTCAAGGGGTGCTTTGGTGTAAAATTCGAATGAGTTAGTAGTCTTATTGCAACACAAATTGCAAAGAATGTCTAGTCACAGTCATAATCCCATTCGGAGACAACTCAGTAAATACAAGAAAGTGCAAACAACAAATAAGTTTAGAGTACAAAGAAATGATGGCAGTCTCAGAAAAAGTGCAGCTATCATCCGCCAAACGCGTGCATGTAGCACGTGCAGCATCAATGTGCAACGACGACCGTGTCCACTAGAAGCGTGCGCACGTAAAACATGTGCAAATGCACACCTCTGAGGCTGACGAGCGCCGCACTGCGAGACGCAGCTGCCCATTGGCTAGCTCGCAGGGTGGCGACATTCATACTTGTCCCAACCCGTCGCTCGGACTCCGGTGGCCTTGACTGGTGCAAGGCAGGAGCACCTGATTGGCTGTCGGCGGTGGAGGGAGGGGCCTCTAAGCAAGGCTTGGAATGCCTTGAACACGGCTGGTGCGCAACCAGTGAGCAACCAGGTCCCAGCTTGCAACACAATTGCTTAGACACGAAGGTTGTAACTTTGGACCAAATACTATACCAATTGGCTTAGCAAGATGAAATAATGTTTTATCTACAGACTCAATGAAAGTGAACATCGCCAGAGTAAAAAGAGTCACGATATAGTAGAAATTAATAGAGTGGAAGAGTGCTTGCAATGTTGGCGCAGACACCTGAGATGCTGATTGAATGAAGGAACTGATAATAGCGAAAATTTTTCCTGAAAATATGACTTCACTAGGGAGATTCTATAGTACTGTGACTGCAGATCTTAATATTAATTAGAAATACATATACCGTATTACCGAGTACATAAAAAACAGAATATAAAGTGAGATAATGTCATACGAAATTTCTGACAAGTGGTTTACACGAATGGTGGAATCGATCAATACACACAGATTATTCGCTAAACAGTAACACTAGCATAATCTTAACATTCAATGCCACACAAATGTGGATTTCGATCAAAAACCAAAAACTGGCAATCACCCGTACATAGGAAAAAAAACACTGATCTCAACCGCCCTCTAGCGGTACAAAATTTGTCTGCTTTCTGCCTTCCTTCGCCCATAGGCAACCCAAACAATACTTATGAATATGCACGCGATAACCTAAACGAGAAATCGGGCCACATAAATTAACCGGAGTGGAACGGCACAACTCCTAGAGGCATCGTCGAAGCAATCTCAGACTGTAGCTTTAACCCCCTAATCCTGCCAAGACACGGTCCCCTGGTCCAAGCTAGCACACAAAGAATCAAGCACATCTCAGGTCAATACATTGAAAAGGAAAACACTACATAAACAAAGAACACCGAAGAAAGAAGCCAGAGAAACAAACACGCGCAGTTCTTCCCAAAACCCAAAAACAGGGCCCGAGACAATCTCCCCTCGAAACGACTCACAGCACCGGCGTCGCGCGCCAAGAGTTGCATCCGTCACTGAGGTCGCCGCCCGCTCGTGACGAGTCGTCCAATCCCCCGAGCACCAGTCTGACCAAGCGTGACCGTCGTGCCGCGTCCTCTCCGTCTTTCCTCTCAATGCTCCCGATGCGCTAACAGCCCGGAGAGCTACACAGACCGCCGACCCACATCCCGGAGCAGGATGCAGGAAGCCCAGATCCCTCGCTCCCCAAAATCAATACTGGCCGCTTTCCCCTCTCCCCTTTTGGAGGAGAGGAGCTGCCGGGAGAGACTGCCACTCTCCCTTTTCCCTCCTGGGGAAAAAAGCACCTGGAAGAGGGAGAACTTCTCCCCCTCTTGGGAAAGAGGAGATGAGGAACGCTGCCGTTCCTCCTCTCCCATTTTAGGGAAAAAGAAGCAGCCGAAGGAGAGGGAGCTCTGCTCGCCCTTTCCCCTTTTGGAGAAAAGAGGCAGCTAGAGAAGTTCTTCACCCTTCCTCCTGCTGGGGAAAAGAAGCAGCTGGGGAAGGGAGTGCTCCTCACACTTTTCCCTTCTGGGGAAAAAAAAGCAGTTGGGAAGAGAGAGCTGCTCTCCCTCAACCTGATACAGAGGAGTCTACTTCCCTTTTCCCCAGACTTCCTCCCCTCCCAACACGGAGCAGAAAAGGAGAATCCTCCATTTCTCCCCAATCCCTTTCCCCAGCAGTCTCGCAGTGTGAAGAGAAGAGGCAATTTCTCCCTTCCTCTCAGTACATGTTCCTTTGTCCTCTCTTTTCTTCCCTTCCCAAGAAAGAGGAGTGCCTTCCCTTTCGCACCCATCCCCCTCTTCCTTCAAGCATTGCATGTGGAAAGGAGGACAACCCTCTCTCTCCCTCTTTATTGATTAAATAAAAACAGCTTTGCTCCCGAAAAAAAAATGAGGTTGCTGCGTGGGACAGCTCCTGTGCCTAATGTCCCGTGCGCCGGAAAAAGGGATGTTGTGGAGCACTCTTTGGGAAGTCTTGATAACAGTTTGGGAAATAGTGTGCAGAGGTAATAACAACATTAATTAATAGGTAATACAGCAAATGTCAAGGCAAGTGCGAGCAGAGACATGCAATTATAATATTCAGAGGTTACTGCAGTATACTATCTAATTTACTAAATGACTGAAAAAGGCTGTTACTTTTATTACAATTGTAATGATAAAACGACGACGATAATAAGTCATCAGTGAAAACGAACCCAAAGCAACATTTTATCTTAGGGTGACAGGAGAGGTGTCTACAACAATTGCTTCCAAGACATTTGAGACTGCATACAAAATTTCTAATAACAATCGAACAGCGAGAAAAAAAGCATGTGGTTTCTTTATACAAAAAAAGATGCAGAAAACACGACATAAAGTTTAAAGAGAAACATATTATGAATAACACATTTACAGAGAATCATGTATTGAACGCCAATTGCATGCAATAAAACATACAAAAAAAGACAGAAAAAGAAATTAGGCTTTTGCCTAGCTTCGGTATCCTGTAAAAACAAGCCATTTGTGGGTAGCATCCAACATTTTCTGCGTTTGCTTTTCAAAACTCCATGGTTTAGTTTGGTTCCCACTTTTTCACACATGTATGCAATACTTCCAGAGACCTACTATCAGAGGTGCGTGCAAATCAAAGCAAATTCCACCTGAATAGAAATAACCCGTATGGGTGTTTCCAAGACATTACAAAAAACATTTTAATTAGTAATAACATTACTAGTACCATAGTTAAGTAGGTAGGACAGATCTTGCCATTCCGGCAACTCACTGCCCTTCCCTTACAGTCACTTACAAACAATCTTGCTAAACGCCAAGAAATACCTTTAAAAACTTATCGAGACATATTAGGAAAGAAACTCAGACTAACTTTGGGGATGGTCACAGACAAGTAGATTCATTTTGAGTCAGAACAGGTAAGGGGTGATAACCACAGAGAATGTCGCAGCGCCGTAAGAAGATAAGACGGCTCACCTTTTGAGGACTTGTCTGGCTTCACAAAGCCCAACGAGCAGCAAGCACAACATGCCGGAAAGGAACCTGAGATGACGCTCCAGGCCATTCTGAAGTTCCTCTTTTTCACGGAGCTGGAAGTAGGTGGACGTCGTCGTCGTTGGCACACGAGAGTGCGAAAGTCAGAAATTTTGGTGTCACGCAGTGTGTAAGTCAGGCGATTCGAATCATTTCGAATTCACCGGGGTGTTTTTCGACAAAGGAAGAGGAAAACGGGATCGTGGGTTGCCGCGGGGGAGTTTATTTCTGACAGATGAACGGTAATGAAAGTAATAAATTAGGGTGGTTTGTGTTCTTAGCAGCTCTTACGTTTTGTAACGTGTCCATAGACTTGCCGAATCGTGAGCACGAGTCAAAATGAACTTATCGGCGACCCAAGGTGCCACTTATTGAGTAGCAAAAGATACGGGAAAAGAACCTAACTGCAGAAAAATAAGGATTTTTCTTTTTGGTCCCAGTAATTTCACACGTTGAAATAGTGGAAAAAAACAAAAAACATGCACCAACCATCAAATTACACCTTCGTAAAATCTTACCAGCTTGAAGAGTCAAGAAACGGAAGAACGCTGCAAACCAATATAGTAAAGCGAGGAAAGAAAAGACGACCGACCGAGCCTTAAATTCGAGGGTCCCAACACTTTTAGACCGACTTGACCTCTTCTTCAGTTGGCACTGTTCTATTAAGAAACACGGCTTACTCATATTTATGGAGGCAAACTGTATTTTTCTATTCATCTCTGTCACTTGATGCAGCTTGTTGACATAAAACTAAAAAGCAAAGTGCCAAGGGGCCTATTGACGGTTCTTAGAGTGGCCCATAAGTCTATAGTAGTTGGCACATAGAGAAATTTTGTTTTCTTTTGACATCTCTTGGTACAGGTAATGTCATGTGCTTCAACTTTTGCCTTTCACCACCACCGCTAGCGCTACATCCTCACAGTCAACTTTCCACAATGCGTGGTTTATTTATGCGGGCCGAAAAACCAGCGATGGGTTCCCACGTGGATGAGCGGCCGGTCAGTCCCGCTCGTCCACGCGGGAACCCATCGCTCGCGAGTGGCTAACGAGCGCTGTCCGTTGTTCGACCGTATTCAGCAAGGTTCGGTAGCGCCATCTGTCGTTCTGCGCCAACGGTAAGTGTTGGGGTCTTTGATCGCGGTTTTTATTAAGCAAATCTGTGACGCATGAATGTAATTTTGGGTTTTTTAGGATGCTTAGAACTTGTAGATTGAGCTATGACCATAAAATGAGGAACTCAAGAAACACCGTAGTGCCCCTTTAAAAAGTTTTATTTGATTTCTCTTTCGCGTTCTTACACAATTGCAATCGGACATTACTATTCTTCTAGTCTTCGTTTATTTTGCGTTTGGATTTTGTTGCAATAGGATGTTACATAGCTGACTAGTGGAAGGTAGAAATCAAGCTTAACGCTCTGTACATCGTTTAGCTCTCCAATTCAGCCTTATAAAAATCTTCTTGATGATTCTTAGGTTTAAATCCAAAACAAATGAACATAGAGTAGACAACCAGAAAATATATATACTTTCATGATTGCTTTGGTGGAAAAGGTTTGATTTCAATCGTCACGGTAAAACTGGTTTCATTTAAATCACGATTTAAACCGATTTAATCTACAACTTAGATTATATTGATTTTTAATGTCCACCCTGTCTGCCGGTGACCTTATGGCAGAACCCGCTCACCTGAGACTCAAGCTCTTGTATCCGAGCGTTGCTCAGCTCCACCTCTGCCTCTAATTCCTGGAGACGGTGCCGGTAGTCTGCCCCTGAATCGTGGAGCAAAATGCGACGAGAAAACAAAGTTATTATAGGGAACATTCCCATTCGGTTGAAGATGTGTCAACGGTTATGAGATAAACAAGCTGTTCTCACAAGACGTCGCACAGGTTTCATTAGAAGTTACAACATCTGTTTGCATGAGCTGCGTATAAGTTGCCAGAGTTGCATCAATAGCTGAGCGAGTTGAACCAAAAGGCACTTCTAATGCAATCACGGTGCATTACAACTTGCAAGTTGCACTAGGAGTTGTACAAGTTGTACAAAAAGGTGCAAGATGCACTAGAGGCTACACCAAAGATTACAAAGTTGAACTATACGTTGCACAAACATCTCGACAGGGCAAAATAGAAGTTGCAAGAACACTGCATCAGAGGTTCTACCAGAGGTGGCAATAGAAGTTGGACTTCTATTGCACCCTTTGACAGTAAATGTTGGACAGCCATGTTTGAGTGAAAATATCGGTGTGCTGGACTTGGATGCAGTGTAGCTATCTCTGATCCTGACTTTTGTACTCTATGTATCGATGAGTCTGTGTTTCCTTAGTTGTCGTGCCTTAAAATCCGAAACGTTGCGAAAAAATCAGTTTTTGTCAAAACACTTCTTTAGGTTTGTTGTATACTCCATATATTACCTCCTCCGTAATTACGAGCACCTGATTCACTGAGAAAATATGTTTAGAAAAATCTTTAGTGGGTCTCGGCGGCTTCCAAATCGCGCTCAATCCGCGAAATCGAGCCGGACTTGGAGCAATTGCCGCTCCCATTGAACTTGGCGGACGGTTGCCATTTTGGTGTTGTTTGGAGTGGAGTTCCTTTTCTTCCATTTACCGCCCCTTAAAGGGGTACGGAAGTGAAATTTGAGCACCTACCTCTCTGTGTAGACACGGTCTCTTTTAAGACAGCAGCTCACAAACAGCAGTCTTTCGTCCGTAAATGCGAGAAAAGCAATTTTAAAACAAATAGTAAAACAATTTCCCAGCACCACCTGGTAGTTGGGGGGCCCAGCTTCGTTAGAATGTCTGACGTCACGGGTGCTTGGCACACCTCTCGGTTCTAATACACCATAGCTCGAGTATTCCAACTTAAAATAAAGTAGAATATTCCTCCCAGGATTTCTTTGGAGTTGACAAAACGTCATTTTGCGATACAAATTTAATGAGCCCAAATGAGGGTAATGTACTTTGAAGTCGGGAGCTGTACTTTCCTCAGAAAGTACCAGAAAAAAAAATACTTCAAGTAAAGTACAAGTTTATACTCGGAGAATGTACTTCAAGTAAAGTGAGTTTCCTAAACCTACTTGAAGCAACACCTTTAAGTACAATGTGCTTAAGGTACCTCCCAACACTGACAACTGCTCCTAACATAGTGCAAAACCTGTCACCTTTGGTGTCCACCATGTTTTTCGGAACAGCAACGATTCTTGAGGGCAAACTGCAAAATATATATAGAGTCGTGCCCATGTAGCAACCAGTAAAAGATTGATCCTATTATTGTTTACACACTGCCATATTATAACTACTATACCAGGTTTCCAGTTCCTGCAATCTACACTTTATACAATTAGGAGTCAACCATTGGCATTTATTTCAGTGTTACAAAACCGGCATCTGTCAGGTCAGCACGAGCAACACAAAAGACGAGCAAAAAACATTTTAATAAAAAACCAAGAAAGCAGCATATAAAAAAATAAAACCTTACTTGTATTGTGATGTTTATCCCTTTCCCAACTACCCCTGTGAAGTGAGGCACTATAAACATTCTGCGGCTCTTATGTCCGAAGTTTGAAGGAGGTTTGAATAGACCCTTTCCGAAATTCAGTGCCATCTGGTGGCTGAAATGGCGGCTTAACTTTTGCCATACGAATGGCGGCAATGAACCCGTAGCCTGCAGTATTTTATCAGGCACCGTCACTTTTGCATGTCAACGGCAGACGAGAATAAACTTTTCGCTATACAGGTTTTTCTGGATCATCTCTTCCAGTGTCGATTCCCACAACGATGCAACCAGTCAGAACGAAGTGCCAACCCAGACAGACGCCTTGATAAAGTTCTATAAGTCAATGGGTTTCGAAGTCAATTTTGTGAAACTAACAGGTTCACTGGGCTCGAATTAGAGAAATGAACACTTACGCAGCGCTTGCATTCAATTCCGGCTTCGCAACGTGCTAACGTCTAGAATGTATAGGCCTCGAATCCTCAGCTTAGGAGTATCTTAAACATGTTCCTTCATCAGTAAATCGAAAGCCGCCATTGGTATGGCACATATGCCATTCTTCAGATGATGATGATAGTGATAAAAGTGGCCAGACTGAATTTCGGAAAGGGTCTATTGGAAAACGGGGGGGGGGCAACTGCTCTCCCTCCCTCCCTCCCTCCCTCCTCCTCTTTCCTCCTACCCCTGCCATTTTGAAAATTTAATGTAAGCAATAGGAGAGAAGAGTAGGAGTGACTCGCTCACTCACTTGCATTGCCCCCCATTTCCCGAATATTTTCGACGGCTCTGGGTTTGAATCACATACAAACTCTCACTGCACAAAAAAAACTTTTTTTTACTATTTTTTAATTTTTAAAAATAAGCTTTCTATACTGCAGCCTAGATGTACAGTAATCCCTCGTTATAACGAAATCGCTTTTTTCGAACTACTGCTTTTATCAAAGCTCAGTGTGGTCTCGACCGAAACTTTTAACCGGAAGATTCTAGGTGTATCGGTAGATTGTGTACTATATTTCTCTATATTATTAGCGCTCTTTGGACGGATGTCGTAATGGTCACAGATGGCTTGAGTTCATGCGTGCCGCTCTTGAAGGTGTTCCAGCTGCTGAAAGGATACTCAACTCTCAGCAGGCGGCTATAAAGTATTCCGAGCAAAAGTGAGAATGGTTCACGTGACACTATAATTCTTGGCGCACAGCTCTTGCAAAAGCACCTTGACATGGCTGGCCTCCATTGCTGCCGGGGAACGCTTTTCTTTTTCTCTCCCACGAAAACAAGGGTTAAAAAAAAAAAAGCTTTTTCCCGGCACTGTTTCTACAATCTATCGCGGAGCGCAGATTGCTACCCATTGCAAAGGAACTTTCAACCTTGAAGCTGCGAAAAAATTATCTCGATCGCAGGCATCCGGAAAGCCACTTCGCGGCTGCCTGAGTCGCTCGTCTGCCAGCACATTCGTGACGTACGCGGGTAGGGAAAAGTAGAGATTTTTCATTGTTGCCAGTAGAAAGTTGCCTCCTGGAACCCTCGCAGCCGGCGTGACTTGAAAGTTCAATAACTTCACGGAAAATATTTATTTTTTAAAAATATTTTGGTTATCAGTTGAGAAAGGGTCATTGATGCGGTCTGCAAATTTCCAGCCAAATCGAAGTCTACCAAAAAGTCGGCGGAGTTCCCCTTTAACTGGCCTCTCAGGATAAAAAAAAAGAGGATAATTAAAATAATAAAGGCTCCAAAGAGGATCTGCCACTCTGAAATTAATGAGGCAATGGGTATGGCTCAAATGGGGTCAAAGAGGGAATTCATGAGCAACTGCTGATCAAAGAGAGCATGTGTTGTTCAATGCTAGACAACCTAATCTTGCTTTCTGACGCAAGGGGAGCCACCAGGGGGCACAACAAAGCAAAGGTAACAAAACAAAGCCAGAGCTGTGGCATACGAAGACATCAAGACGGGGTAGAACGCATCCATCAAACGGATGCGTATAACCGAGCCAAAAACGACAGCGATCGTTCAATGACGCTGGACAGCTCGGAAGAAGCAGACTCCTCCACGCACCCAAGAGGTTCTTGCGGAACGCAGCCTTACGAGACTGCAGGTCTCTCTTGGCAGCATCGACGTCTTCGAACATCAGTTTTGGCACCTGGAACATTGCAGAAGGCCACCCCGTCTCGTACTATAACCTCCTCGTTGGTGCTCGCACCGAACCTTCAGTAAATGAATCAATTCATTCATGCAAAACTCATTCCATCCTCATCTTCAATAGGTGCAGAGCCTCACGGTATGGTTCACCACCCTTCGTGGGATGTCATACACTGGTTTGACGTATGTAAAATTATTCCTATCAGTATATTATCAACCAGTCAGCCAATTAATTAATGTGTCAATCATTCGATCAAATGATCAATCTTATAGATACTTAAATTAACACTGTCAAACAATCAATGCATCAGTTATACCCATTAATTAACCAATCAATCTGCAAACTATTACTCAATCACCCAAATGATAAATCTACCAATCACTTTTATTTGTGGCCATCAACAGCAGCGACCAACAATACAATCTTGTCACGACTGCCTTACAGTTTGTGCAGAAAATCAATGCAAGATGTAATTCTCTTCTTATCAGCAAGCTCAAATAAAGCATAGATGTTTTAGAGATAATTTTAATTCCCAAATTATTAATAAACTGTGAAATGTTGGGGAGAAAATAAATTTCAGTTGGTCGAGCTCCATTACAAAAAAGAAAGTATGGTTATAAGAAGGTAAAATACAGAATGGGGTTGGACTTTAATAAACCAAAAAGATTTAATGCGACAAGCAACTCGTGCGACATAAACTGATAAGGTTTAGTTTCAAGTTCTCTAATGCTCAAAATAAGAGTAATGCACAAACAGCTTTTGTAGACAATACATTAGGACCTCTCTATAGTAAAAAGAGTGCCTCAAATGCCTGTGGTAACAGTATTACAATCATCCTTTAACTTTGCTTTACTTCATATACTTTGCTATATTAGACTTTATAAACAGGTTTCGCTGTCCTGATATTTAAAAAGACTTGTGTCCCAAAACACTTAATTTCTGAGCCTGACCAAAATACTATTTACAGTTATTCACATTCTCATATTACCAAAAACATTAGTTATGCTACATATGACAATTATTAAAAATGCAAAAAAAATAAGAAACAAAAATATTTTTTGATGAAATAAAAGCTTTACAGCGATGCATGAAGCACTTGGAGCATCAAGAATGCATAATCTAGGGAAATTACGCAAGCAGCACATGCAAATTTATGCTTTCTAAGATAGAACCTCAGGCTGCACATTTCTGACATTCTCGCACTACGATATGTAAAAAGGTTTCTAAAAAAAAATGAGTCTTGCAAGAAGCACCTCCCCCCCCTTTACTGTGTCATGGCGTCAGCATAAACAAACATGGCAGCGCCCATGGAACAGAGCAGATGCTCTTTTGAATGTGTCTGCTCTCTTCCATGGGCACTGCCATGTTTGTTTATGCTGACACCCATGACACAGTAGGGGGAGGGGGGGATGCACTTCTTGCAAGACGGTTTTTTTTAGAAACCTTTTTACATATCGTAGTGCAAGAATGTCAGAAATGCAAAGTCCCAAAGCTCCAAGAACAGACCGATGCCAAGAGTGCTGTAAAAAGCAAAAATCTTGCTTTATGCGCAGCCCCTCTCTTCGCAAGAGCTTGTGTTTGAGATTATTATTCCCCATTTGTATTGCTGGGGGCTAGGATTTCGGACACTGGTCTATACTGACCTGAGGCTTGGCACGCTTCCGCACAGGCTCGGAGCTGAAAGAGAAGGAAAGGAAGAGGAAGCCCAGGTAAGGCCTTCAGAAGAGCCCACCTCTAAATGCAGATTTCTAAGCACTCGCTCTAAAAAACAAATTGCCACAGAACAAGAATCTCCGCGAAAAACGGTATAAGCATGTCTCACAGATGTCATCCTGCCGACATGAGTTCAGAACTGAAACTGAATGCCATCAAAGTAACTCACTTCTGTCAATAAAATTCACGTGCAACTTTCAAGACATCAAGCTCCGAGTTGACAGCCAGTTGAAGGTAGTAAAAGCCGTCGTGACAATAAGCAAAATTTCCGCGCCAACGCGTAAACTGGATTTCTAACGGCTGTGGTGGCTGCACTTCCCGACAAACTTTTTTTTTTTTCCCACAGGAAGTAAATTTCCCGCCGCTGCAGTGTGCTGCCATCTGGGGAAAAAACCGAGTGACGCCGCAAAATAAAAAGGCGTCTTGACAGCAGGGTTGTTAAGAGTCTCCCTTTTCCGCTACTTTTCTCCCAGCACGTACCTTCCTTATTAATTTTTAGGAAGACACACAAAAGACTCACTCAGTTCATGCAACTATTTTGAGTAAACTCTTTTGAGTAAACCGTCCGAGTGCACACCTAATATAGCTCATTTGGACAACACGCTAAAGTATAAGGTACGTTTCGGAGTCACACCTCACTCAAAACGAGCCTAACAATGTAAATATTGCGCTAAATGTTTTTTGAAAGGGGGGAAGGGAATTTTATTTTGTAAAAATTTTTTTTGCAATCTAGCTATATAAAAAAAATTGTTTCACATTTTTGTGTTTTTAGAAACGATTCTCAAGCATGTTTTTATTGTGGATTAACGTGCCAGAATAGGAGAATTGCTCCTAACTGAAGCAGCTGCATTCACCAGTCGTGACTAACTAGCTTTGTTCTCAAGCTAGTGGCATGTATAAGTAGCGACAAGCTAAGCGTAAAATCGGCGACTAAGGAGCGGGCGACTAGCTAGTCAGGAGTAACTAACAGAAGTGACATAAAAAGGTAGGTCCCGTATGCACATACTTAAACCCCAGCGCGTGAATGGGATTTTATAGTGGAAAAACTAATATTTAAATACCCTATTAGCAAAAATAAAATGTTATGTTCAGAGACTGATTTTCTGGGACAGGGTTTCACAAAGAAAATGAAAAAAAAAAAATGCAAGGCAGAAAACACGAAAGCAGCATTGCCAGCGACATAAAGAAATACGGAAGAGCACGTAAATGCAGGCTTTCTTGTCCTCCTACGCCTTGCTGAGATTGCTTTAGCAGTATCTCTGACCTGTGAACACGTCCGTTCCCACAGTATTTGCTGCTCCGATTCCTTCTGGATCTGTCCCCCAGCGTTCCAAGAAAGCAAGTGCTTCACTAGCACTGGCCGTCAGCCGTGACAGCAGTCGGCCATGGTGCCGATCCGCTAGTCACCCGCTAAACACCGGCTAAACTAGCCGTACGCCCCGATTAAGACTTTTTTTAGTCGCCTTCGAAGTCGCTTATGGTGCCTAACCCCTAAACATGGCTGGTGAATATGGAGTGCTTACGTAGCTGCGATTACCACCTGCCACGTGATCATTTTAATCAATCACATAGATAATCGGCAATTGAACAGGTGTTAAACACATCTGATGAATACGGCTGAAGATGCGTCCTGCAACTTAAATATTGTGCTAAAAATTGTTTTGGGGGGAAAGTTTGTTTCGTGACGTACACGTCGTACCCAGACACTTAATTAACGAAAAAAGTTTCCTGGGCGTTTGGTGTTGCTCTAAAGTGAAACAGAGTAGACCCCCCCATGTGTAGTCAGTACAGAAACCTACGTTACACCAAAACGTGGTCCATGACGCGAGTCGTCCGAAACGACAACACAAATGCGAGTACTTCGCCCAGTTCGAAACTTGTGTCAGTTTAGCCGGGTATCCATATTGACGGGGTCCACGTTAAAGGGATACCGAAATAAAAATTTAAAAGTACATCTCATAGCTTGGAAATGAGCTGAAGCACGATCGACGACATCTGCAAGCAAACATCGCGAGCCCGTATTTTGAACAGGTGGCTATATTTTTCGTTCGAAACAGCCGATTCTAGCGAATGCTCGAAGAGCGGCCGTCGGAGAGCGTGATGCATCATGGAAGACTCGGCGCCGCCTGACGACATTTCGCGTAGCTTTGGGAACATCCACCGGAGCGCAGCCCGGTAGTCGTTTTAAATAAAGTTTTGATGTCTTTTCAAGCAACCGGCTGGTGTCTCTGCGGTGCTGCCGGAACATAGCCAACATTTAGACATTGAAATAGGCCCTGGAATTTTATTTCGGTACCGCTTTAACGAGACGCGACAGCATATACAAGATCATTTTTCCGAACGGTTCGGTCAGTTGGGACACGAGAACAAAGGGACTCACGACTGCGGAGGAGCTTGAGGCGTACTGTCCGTCGTCGCCTCGTCTTCCGTGGCCGCATCCACCAGCTGGCTGTTCCCCTCTCGGATCGCACAGACAAAGCTGTGCGTGCGGCGCCGCAGCAAGGGCGACGTGGCACTCGACGCAACCGCCGCCGGTGTCTTTGATTGGACCAGTGGGACGGGTCCGTTGGGGATGAGCGGAGGGACGGACCGAGGCTTGAATCGAGGCCCGGACTGAGGCTCGGAGCGATCCGTCTGCGACTCGCGCGAAAGCACAAGGGTCTGCTCTGTCTGCGTGGCCCTCGCGATGGTGGCGTCGCGCCCCGGCAACACCGGGCAGGAGAATGTGCTCGACAACCGAGGACGGTTGTCGTGGGAGGGAGGACGGTGCTCGGAGGACCTGTGGATGCATACGGGGAACTTCGTGAAGCACCGAGGTGCGGGCAACCGGGAAGACCCGCGGTTGTACGTGGGGGGCTTTGTAAGGCGCCGAGGCACAGGCCCTTTACAAAAATCACAAAAGCCCGCACGCACCACGCGACGAATAATGGGAAGTTCTTGGTACGGCCCTCCCGTCGTCTTTCCTCCCGCTACCACAAGATCTACGCGAGCAGGCGCAGGTTACCGAGGCAACAACTTTCGAGCAGCCGAGTCGGACGAGCCGACGAGTGCGCGGAAATGGGGGAGAGGTTTGTCTGGCTTGTGAGGCTACCCCTTGCTCATCCCTCTCCCCTCGTACCGGCTCTGTCGTCTGCTACACAAACGCTGCGTCGAACCTGGTCAAACCCTGGCACGGTTGCGGTGCAAAACATCTGGATTCGGTAACACCGCAAAATGTGTAGGTAAGTTACGATGCATTACGTATTTAAATAAGTGAATTGCTTCCCATGCAGCAATGCGCTTACGCTGCCAAAAACACGGTACATCGCCAACGACGTGCGATGTACCGGCGGACGGCCGGGATGGCGGATGGCTGTGACGGCTGCTGGCGGTAGCTGCTGCAACTCACGCACAGTTGCGGAAGTGCATAAAGAAAGTGTGTGATATGTACCGAAGGTTCCCAAAATACCCTGCCGTACGTTTTGCAACAGGTTTATTGGTAACTAGGGGGTGTTATTTTTACTGGAGATATCGGCACCTGCACGCAGCAACCTCAAATCCTCTTGATGGCAGTAGATTTCACAGCAAAAAATTTCGAGGCGTAGCTCCTTTCTTGTGAGAAAAACAGTGCAAAGGGAGAGAAACGCTCGCTCGAAATTACACTGGGCAGGGGGCAAAGCGAAAAACAAGCACAAAATTTAACCGCGTTTAGCAAAGCCTTTGCAGCAACACGAGTACAGCAACTATAGCCATGTGAACCAAAGCCGTCCCCGACCAGTGCGACTCACAATAGAAAACCTGATTACTGAGAAAGATGTAGGCGATTCGATTCCCTTCGGGCGACACACAGTCTTTCAAAAAGACACCTCGTGTCACCCTATATTCCTATCTCGTGTCACATTTCGTGGTGCTCCAGGCTCAAAGACTAGCCCTAGAACACGTTTTGTGCTAAAAGAAGACCAACACCTCTACATTGGTCAATAGCGGTGTCGGTCCCATCTTTTGCACGAAGGGAGCTGCACGTTGAAATTTCACGAGGTAAAATCTACTGCTAAAAGAATTCTTTGGAGAAAAGTTTTAATCCCTGCGTGTAGGCGCCAACATTTCCAGCTGACTTTAGATCAAACTCTGGAGATGTTAATGGCCTATACATTGTAGACCACTTTTCGGCCCAATATTGTAGAGGCTAATGGCAGTTTTCACAGTGCTGCAGCCCTGTACTGCTGCACGATGACGCGCTGCGTCTCATTCGCAAGGGCCCTCGTCCATGGGGTACGCCAGACGAGGCCACGCGCTCGCGTATGTACCTAGCCTCAACGCTGAACGGAGTCGCAGCACTATGAAAACTACAATAGCCTCGAAGGTTTGAAACAAAAATGTTTTATGCCCATGCTCGTCGTTGTGGTGATAGAAATACTTCAGGTGGCATAACGCTGCGCCTCCACCAAAGAGCCGTCGTCGCAAAGATCGGCATGAGGCTGTCTATCCTGCCGGCAGGGCACACCCACCAAAGCCATCCTTTCACAAGTGTTAGCGGGCGGCGGTATGCCCCAGGCTACAACGGAGCACAATTTTCTGTGGTTATGAATTTGTTTTTTGTCAGATTTGGCTTCCGGAAGCTGCCGGCAATGGAGAAGTGCTTCGTGCCACGGTGAAACGCGGGACACAGAACGTGAACGGAGGGGCCTTCCCCTTTTTGCTAGTCCCAAAGAAGAAGGCCGCCTTAAGGTATGGCGTAGTGTGATTTCGCGCAAGGACCGCCTCCTGCAGCCGACAGACTTCGTCTGCGAGAGACATTTTGAATCGAGGATTGTGAGAATATCACAGAAAGCCGTCTGCAAGGGCCACATCCTTGTAGGTGCCCCATGGAAAGCTGCTCTGGCGAAAGACGCAGTTCTAACAAAGTTTCCGGGCTACCTTGAAACACCACCCCTGCCCGTTTCGATGTGGGTGTGCATCGTACCGGCGTGCGGTCGTGTATCACTACTGCGTGGTGCACGTTGAAGGCCCCAAGGCTAGCGGTTGTACTGCACTGGCTAAATTGCTCATCTACAGCTGGGAGACTAGTCGCCCGTTGAGGCAGACCAAGTTCTAGGCTCTATAAACATACACACAACCCAATTTTTTTTTTTCCGGGCTATCCCTGCAATTTGACGAAGACTGAGAAAAAAAGAAAAGGACTCGCAGACTGCCAGTACCCTCCTTCTAGCGAACGGCCCTATTTATAGCGCATTCAGTTTTACTTTGCCTGGAAGCGCAAGAGTAGTGCACTGTTAGTTGTTGTTCACCAAAAGTTGCTTGGCCCTAAAGTAAGGGGGTGTTTACATTCTGAATGATATTAACAAATTAGTTCTCTGTTCAAAAACCAAATCCAAAGATTGAACCACATTTTTGCTGTGCCTCTGCCTCGTTGCATTTGTGCACCAAAACTAACGTTCAACGAGTTCTGTCATCAGATCAACTTGATTGGAAAGTTTTGCTAGGGATTTGGGCTTAATGACGCGAAAGAAAAAAAGTATCACGCCACCTAAAAGCGCTTTTTGCAGCGTGTAAGCGTGATCCACGGACATAAGTATTATTATATCCTGAAAAGCATGCCAAAACGCATATTTTTTTCTTTACTTTAAACTAGACTCCTTTGTGCAAACGAGGGAAGCGTTTTGCCTGCAGTGGAGTCGGGGTGTACGTAAGAAGCAAATAGCATACCGTCGCCACAACAGGGCTTTGGCGTCCCATCCAGTGCTGCCAACCTTAGGGATTTTCCCCTAGATCTAGAGATTTCCATCATCATTTAGGGGCAAAGGGAAATTTGTTCAAATCTAGGGATTGTTTTTTTAATGGGTTTCAGAGGGCTTTAGAGACACGTTCCTTCCCTTTTTCCTCCCCGTACCGACTGAGTGCAGTGAGGAAAACGAAAAAAGGCTTCTTTGTATATTGTCGAGATCAGAGATCATCTCCAGGGGTAACAACAACGATTCTGGGGTGGCCACACAGGGCCAAAGAAACAAACTTTAATGATGTAAAAAGGTTTTACAGAAGCAAATTTAACGTTTAAATAGCCACCCAACTACACAAATCTATTTTTAAGCTATTTCATGACGATAATCTATATATCGATGCAAATTAACACTTTTTCTGAAAATCTAGGGAATTTTCCGATAAAAAATTGGGGAAGAAACAGTCGCGGAGGCTGGCAACACTGGTCCCATCCCTCACGATCGATTCTGAGCACTTTGCATGCTGATAGTGCTTGCCTGCTCTGTAAACATTCCAACGTTTATATTGTTTCATAGTCCAGTGCAGGATCTGAACAGCCCAGCTCGTAAAAGTCACTCGTTTTACGAAGAAAGAAGGCACATGCCATACACAAAAACGTTGAAAATGATACCGGCCAGAAGCCCTTTTCTGAAACGGTTAACAGCCTTACATAACATCAAGAGCGTCCACCGCTGCTTCGAAGTGCTTGGTTTAACTGTTGCATTCAGTTTAAAACGAGCAAAGCTTCGCTGCAGTCGCTGAATGGTTCACCGCCCATGTAGGAGACGGCATTCGTAAACCTCGATGACCATGGCGCCCATCTGGTGGCACGCACGAGAAACGAGTGGAGTAACGCCTCCGGAGACGGCGTTACTCCACTTGAGCCTTCTTACACCACTCACAACTTCTTGTTTATACTACACTACAGGTAAACGTTTGCAAGTACGGTCAGAGCACTACCATCTTGCTCGCATGGGGAGTGCTTGGGCGCGTCATAATCCGATTATGATGCCTTGTTAAGGCGTCGTAGTCGAATTATGACGCGCCCAAGCACACCCCACGCAAGCAAGATGGCGGCGCCCCAAGGCCGTACTTCCAAACGTGTATGCAGTTACAAATACGAAACAGTGTCTTTTTGTGCTGTTTATCATTTTAACCATGTAACAACTAGTGCATCTTCATGCCTTACTGTCTGTGAAACTTACAAATTTCCACGGTGTGCGGTGGAGCACCTTGGCTTGGTGGTGCCCACAGTGTCGTACACTTGGTCGTCTGGGTGAGGCCCTGTAACGCAAAAGCTAATATCATGATCTGCATGTCACCGTCAAAATGTAACACCACTTCTGTCAAGGCTCAGAATGACATTGCTGCTGGAGCTGGATAACAGGAAAGCTTGACAAAAGCATAGCTAAATTAAACAACAACTATGAGAATAATGATTTGCGTGAGAACAAGAGAGTCAAGTCATGAGCGATTACAAATACTAACTAGTCATAAAAAATGCTCTTCCAGATACCTGACTACTTTTGTCTTTTCCTTACTCTGTTTTCGGGATCTTCAGTCTTTAACTGGGGATGACTTTGTCTTCGAATTTCTTTAATGTCTTATTAACCTTGGAATGTCAGTCTGGATGTCTTAAACAGTGGTACCTTAGACTATAAAGGTCATTGACCTCATTTTTTTTTTTTTTAATTGGACATTTTAAACTTTAGGTTTTTGATTCTGGGCATCTGGTTGGATGTCATTGACTTGGAACATCTTTGACTTTAGATGTCCCAGACTTCCGATGTCTGAGGCTTTGAACGTCTCAGACTTTGGACATCTCAGACTTTAGACGTCTCAGACTTTGGACATCTCAGACTTTGGACGTCTCAGACTTTGGATGCCTCAGATTCTGGGTGCCTTAGACTGTGTGCATCCTACACCTTAGTCGCCTAGTATTTTTGGCATCTCATATTTTGGTAGGCATGTGCAAATAGTGAATTTTGAGTTTCGGGCAAATTCGAAACAAATAGTGTTTTTGGCCGAATATTTTACATAGAATATAGACTAGCTTCTCCAAGTCTTTCACTAGAGTGTGCCATGCTTAAACGAAAATTCGGCTGAACTCATGAAGGTTGTTTCCGACCTTCCACTCATTCACTTCTAAGCTCAGTTAATTTTAATATAACTATAGTAGTTATGAAGTGTGACAGGTACACGACGGATTTGTCACATCTATCCTAATCTAGGGGTTTATAAATCTGCTTACTACATGCAAATATTCATTCCACTATTAAAAATATGAAAAAAAACACAAAAAAACATGAATGATGAATGTGGGCTGTCAAGACATCGTTGCCTAACATACTTTTTCATAATCGCGACATGTTAGCCCCGTTGAGTGCGCTTCTTGCCAAGCACCTGTGAAATGCGGGGAAGCAGTACCCACGGAGCCCACCAACATTGCTTTTCCACAGTGCACACATGCTTCGCGAGAAGCACTCAACGGGGTTAGCCCGAAGCAATCGGCACTTAGAAAAGTATGAATATCGAAGTTCACCTCAAAGCGAATATTGAGTAGCACATTATTTGAAACTACTATTCGAAAATTCGAATATTCGACACTACATTTTGGGCAAATCAGACCTTGAAAGTCTTAGCGCTTCTGCAGCTCAGCCTTTGCATCTCTCACACTTTGCACATCTTAGACGCCGATCTCAGATGCATCTCCGACGTCGACGTCTTTGACTTCGGATATCCTTTACTTTTCATGTGTCTGACATCTTCTTTCTAGATACCCATTTTCCCACTTTGCACAGAGTCCATCCTCTGAGCAAGGTTGTCCGATACCTCCTCCGCAAGTATCCTAAACTGTCCAGAGAGCCGAGGCCAGACGAACAAGAGAGAGAGAAAGAAACAAGCGGTTTCCCAACCGTCTTCAGAAAATCCACGCCGGTAGAACGCTGCCCTGCGGTCCGCGGCCGAGCTCGACAACGCCGGCCGAAGTGGAAGCCTGGAGCTTCTTGCGTGCTGCAACATCAAACCAGAGCAAAGAATTATGCCTCTGCAACTTACATCGAGCTGCCAACTATTTCATTCTAAATTTAGAAGTGTGGCGTGCATCAATACACACAAAGGGCAGGAAAGTGGGAACGTCTGGCAGCATGCAACAACTACGCTTCAACTGCGAAAAAAAAAAAAAAGAAACTACTCCACTTAACAGGGCCAGACAATTTGCAAAAATTTGGGCTCTCAAAAATCCCTAGGCAGTGCTCAATAAATTAGCAGGATCCCAGCAATGCTGCCCAAGCATCTAGTGCCTTGAACCGATCCCACACTACACCGCATCTTCCTCAGCTTTCCCAAGTTCCAGAGTTGTGGTTAAAACAGTTTTCTCGTTTGCGTTTACCTCTAAGTGATCTTTGCTTTGTGTCCCATATCTACAAAGGTATACTAAAAAGACCAGCAATATGTTACAAACAAAAAAAGCAACCAACGAGCAAAAAACAATAATACTGATCCTCTTACAAGGTAAGTGAGCACCGCCTGGCTCTTGGTGATCTGGCTCCGCAACGCCTGCAGCTCCAGCTCAATCTGCTCACGAACCACATCTTCGGGAAACGAGTACACCTGCGTGTCGTCACATTGGCAGCCGCGGCGATCAGGAATGTGCAGCACATCGAGGTCTCAAAAAAAAAAAAGAAATATGTCAACACAAGTGGGACAGCTTACCGAATCCGGACTGACATCCTCGAGCACGCTGACCAGCCGATTGTCCTGAAACGCGAGGCAGTGCGTTCGAGTCAAGATCTTGTGGGAAACGCTTTCATTGTGCGAGTGTGCAGTGCGATGCAACAGACCTTATGCGAAATTAGCTGCGTCATCCCGTGAACAGAAAAAGAAGCTCGCCCACCGTCTTAATATTAATAAGAAGCGGAGCAGATCGGGTCTGCATGCGTACACGATTGTTCTGTTCATTGCCGGCAAAATGCCCGTCTGCTGCTGCGTGCCATCATGTAAACAACGCGGAATCACAAACAGCAATGGAAACAAAGTATGTGGCACAAAGTTTGCTTTCTTAGTGGTAAATAAAGCGGACAGAAAGTGTCAAAGTCGCCTTGTGCTGCTTGTCCGGCGGACTGAGTGTTTGCAGGCACGCCAATGGAGGGTCTTTAATAGTGCGCGGGGCATAGTGCTTGCACGGAGTCTGCCTAACTGGATGAACGCACGGGTGGAGTCGTGATCCTTATTGCAACGAAAGGCCACAAATAATAGTCCATGTTTTCTCTGTGCTGGGCGACCTCGCGGCTGAGTTAGATGTTTTCAACTGGCTCCCGCTCTTGTCAAAATGGGTATGCTCGCAAAGTTTGATGGGGAATGATATAAATTTTTAATAACTTTGTGTGCCACACATGCAAACTACTACAGTGGAATCTCGTTAATTCAAACTCGCAGATAATTCAAACTAACATGCGGGTCCCGTCCTATTTGTTTCTAGGAAGGTAACTCCAGGTAATTCAAACTTTGCACATTATTCTATCTTTCCTAGGCTACCGAGGGAAGATAGAGTGACCAACGCTCGTGACCCCACGTTCAAATTGCACCTGATTGTATTATCGGGGACAACACGAGCTGAAACAGCCCTTCGTGTTTCTTTTGCCTACCTGCCAGTTCTTGAGGCAGCTGTGGTTTCAACTAGAAATTAAACGCATAGACGCCATACTTTGAACTGTTTGACAAATTTAGAAATTACAAAGCTCATGTGGACCGCAGAATAAGGCCGGATAGGACGTTTCAGCTCGCAGTGCCTGTGTAAGTTTCCATAGCGAAGGCGTAGGACTTGCACCGGCGCTTCGACGAGGTTGTCGCCAGCGGGCACGGGCCTCGAGAGCTTCGTCAGACGTTGCGGTAGGTTGTTTAAACTCTTCGTCCACGTTCCATGGTCGGAAGGCGGAAAACACAGCTGCTGCGCCATCCCCCGTATGGTTCTCTCCGATGCCTTCATCGTGCTTCGGTACCGACGACGCTTGCCAACGTTAAAATGGCGATGCTCTCGGTGTTGTCAGACCACCTAGCAATTTCACATAAAGTCTATTACCTTAAGCTTTTTTTTTTCTGTTTTTGTTTTAGAACTGATGAAGGCTGTTGTCAGAAACTACTGGTCTGGTGGAAAGTGCTCGTTCTGGGCATCGAAGTGGTGGGCGAAAAGAATGCAGAACCGCGACATGCAGTGTATAGTTACGACACTTGCCTGCTGCACTTGAGCCGATATGGAAGCCGGACCTGAAGATAAAAGTTCTATGAGAGAAAACAAAACTACCTACCCCAAAATAAAAAAATAAAAGTGCGGTAAAATGTTTCCTGACGAATGGAAGCCCATTTTCTGAATGCGTGCTCTACTAATACACAGCCATTTTTAAGGCTGCATGAAAAGTGTCTCGATTTATAAGTTCATTACCTCTAATGTCGAGTTCGAGTCTTACGTCAAAGGCTCTTCTTCACGTGGGAGCATGATGTTTACACTGACTGCCCGTCCCTCTTTTCAATTGAAACATTTGGTAAGAAAAGCATGTTGTCTGTGAGCTACTCGAACACAGTCCCCCTGAGCCAAATCCAAGTTTTAAGACCTTGACCCTGACCCAACACAAGGTGAAAGTGCCTACCAGTATGCGACTCCAAGATTCTGACAGCCGCATCATTCAACCTGCAAGCAAAAGAGACGACAGTTGCTAAATTGTCAAGTAATTTGGACTAGAGAACAAACCGACTATAGGGTTCCGTGCTTTCTGAGTTAATTTTCCGTCAAATTCAGAAGGTGTTTTTTCGAGTTCACTTTTTGCCAAAAATTTGGACTTGACAGGAGTTTATCTTTGTTACATTCCCCATTCTCTGAAGCTAAAAAAAAGAAATACATGATATTTGGGTCAAACGTCTGCTAGGTTTACAAGAATGCGCAACTATCAAATAATATTTCTTATGCTAGATTTGGCGTTGGCGCCCTTATCAATACTAATCTGTCTCGGGACAAAACATGCAAACAAGTGTTGCTTCAATAAGTGTAGAAACCTTAAAATCACTAAACTTCCAAAAGTAGTCGAGGAAAAGCTCGTTTTCGTCCCACCTTATTCCATCACCCTACCCCCGCGGCTGCACAGCTTGGAGTTACGAAGGGTTCAACTGCCCCCTTCCCTCCCCCTTTAAAAAAAAAAAATCCCCATGGGTCATAGCTTTTACCACCGTAACAAAAACACAACCCTCCGTTCCTCTAAGAAGCGCGAAAAGTATGGTTTAAACTGGAAACTCAAACAGTGACCTCCGTCGTGACCGAAAAGTATGATGATCTGCTGTCCCAAACGAACCATGACGAGATAAACGGTAAGATTCCTTTGTCCATGATCTGAGATGAGAAAGGAAACTGGGGTGGCACTTTTGAGGACCTTAACCCTTTGCACTGACCAAACTTAACTGCAGAATACTACAGTCTTCTTTCTTTTCTTTCTTTTTTTTTTCGCATTGAGACAACAAAATTTGGAGCTGTTTGGGAATGGCACGCTAACACTCTAAGATTTAGTGGCTCCAATTGGGACTGATAAATATTGCACACTACTTTTTCTGGTGCTTGGCAAGAAAAAGTAATTTAGGTAAACTTCATTTTGAAAGTGACACCAAGTATACTTGCATGATACAATGTTTAGTACAATGTGCATAGAACAGAAACACACTAGAAGCCACATGCCTAGCGTACAACATACTACAACACAGATCAGACGGCATGCATCGTTGGGCATGTGAAGCATGAGATTCCAGAAATCAAAGTGCATGATGGAAAGGCAAAGTGTGTGTTAGAGGCGCTGCTCATTACTGTGCATGCTACCGCATGCTCGGAGCTTGCTACTATAATGTAAAACCTTGCTAATGGCAGAAGTGCAAAAGTGGCACGTCTGGCAGTGTGCATCGAGCATAAAAGAGGTCTCAACAGGGCCCCACAATCATGTTGCACATGAAGGAGAATGAACAGTTGTCAAATGCCCACAAGGCTGACCTGTGTGTCCATAAATCCTAACTTCACAAGAAGTAAAGTACAGAAATACATTCTTTAAAACAGTTACTAGTAAGCAAGAACTAGTGTAAGGTTCTAAACTAGCATACCATACTTTCTTTCGACATTGCTCAACTGTGCATAGGGCTTGAAAGACTTCTAACTTCCCTCTACAAAAGCTCCACTTCAACCCTTGAAGCACGAGGCTTTGCTCGCAATGACAGAAAAAATAAACAAATAAAATGTACCTTTACAAATATGTTAGGCATTGCAAGTGATTCAGCATACATGCAAGGGCAGATTGATAGATTAGCATTCCAAGCTGCAGACTATTTCTTATATTTGTCACTACAATAGGGTAATTTATGAGGCCTTCATAACAACACAAAGGGAAGAGATATCAGTACTTCAAACATACTGTAATTTTCAACACAAAATTATTGTTCCAGTGCTTGAGGATTGGAGACCTGAAAGATGGCTTTGAACTTATTGATACGCAATGCTATATACATTTACAACTGTTGAGAAATTGTGATAAATTTAAGCAATGCAAAGAGGTATACAGGATATTTACCCGATTCAAATGTGACCTCCGTTCTATTGTGCACCCAGTTTGTATACCCAACAATAATGATTCTAGCACGACCACGATAACAGTTTCGCACCCGATTCTAATGCGCGGAAAGTTTCTAGGTATATCTAAAAAAAAAGAAAAGGCGCACATTAGAATCCGGTAATTATGATAAATGCATACCTCAATAACATATTCAATCACACAGTTATACACAAAGCACTCGTGCTGTGCCACATTAAAATTTCAGCGGTTGAAAAAAAAAGGTTTCAAGGGGTGCTTTGGTGTAAAATTCGAATGAGTTAGTAGTCTTATTGCAACACAAATTGCAAAGAATGTCTAGTCACAGTCATAATCCCATTCGGAGACAACTCAGTAAATACAAGAAAGTGCAAACAACAAATAAGTTTAGAGTACAAAGAAATGATGGCAGTCTCAGAAAAAGTGCAGCTATCATCCGCCAAACGCGTGCATGTAGCACGTGCAGCATCAATGTGCAACGACGACCGTGTCCACTAGAAGCGTGCGCACGTAAAACATGTGCAAATGCACACCTCTGAGGCTGACGAGCGCCGCACTGCGAGACGCAGCTGCCCATTGGCTAGCTCGCAGGGTGGCGACATTCATACTTGTCCCAACCCGTCGCTCGGACTCCGGTGGCCTTGACTGGTGCAAGGCAGGAGCACCTGATTGGCTGTCGGCGGTGGAGGGAGGGGCCTCTAAGCAAGGCTTGGAATGCCTTGAACACGGCTGGTGCGCAACCAGTGAGCAACCAGGTCCCAGCTTGCAACACAATTGCTTAGACACGAAGGTTGTAACTTTGGACCAAATACTATACCAATTGGCTTAGCAAGATGAAATAATGTTTTATCTACAGACTCAATGAAAGTGAACATCGCCAGAGTAAAAAGAGTCACGATATAGTAGAAATTAATAGAGTGGAAGAGTGCTTGCAATGTTGGCGCAGACACCTGAGATGCTGATTGAATGAAGGAACTGATAATAGCGAAAATTTTTCCTGAAAATATGACTTCACTAGGGAGATTCTATAGTACTGTGACTGCAGATCTTAATATTAATTAGAAATACATATACCGTATTACCGAGTACATAAAAAACAGAATATAAAGTGAGATAATGTCATACGAAATTTCTGACAAGTGGTTTACACGAATGGTGGAATCGATCAATACACACAGATTATTCGCTAAACAGTAACACTAGCATAATCTTAACATTCAATGCCACACAAATGTGGATTTCGATCAAAAACCAAAAACTGGCAATCACCCGTACATAGGAAAAAAAACACTGATCTCAACCGCCCTCTAGCGGTACAAAATTTGTCTGCTTTCTGCCTTCCTTCGCCCATAGGCAACCCAAACAATACTTATGAATATGCACGCGATAACCTAAACGAGAAATCGGGCCACATAAATTAACCGGAGTGGAACGGCACAACTCCTAGAGGCATCGTCGAAGCAATCTCAGACTGTAGCTTTAACCCCCTAATCCTGCCAAGACACGGTCCCCTGGTCCAAGCTAGCACACAAAGAATCAAGCACATCTCAGGTCAATACATTGAAAAGGAAAACACTACATAAACAAAGAACACCGAAGAAAGAAGCCAGAGAAACAAACACGCGCAGTTCTTCCCAAAACCCAAAAACAGGGCCCGAGACAATCTCCCCTCGAAACGACTCACAGCACCGGCGTCGCGCGCCAAGAGTTGCATCCGTCACTGAGGTCGCCGCCCGCTCGTGACGAGTCGTCCAATCCCCCGAGCACCAGTCTGACCAAGCGTGACCGTCGTGCCGCGTCCTCTCCGTCTTTCCTCTCAATGCTCCCGATGCGCTAACAGCCCGGAGAGCTACACAGACCGCCGACCCACATCCCGGAGCAGGATGCAGGAAGCCCAGATCCCTCGCTCCCCAAAATCAATACTGGCCGCTTTCCCCTCTCCCCTTTTGGAGGAGAGGAGCTGCCGGGAGAGACTGCCACTCTCCCTTTTCCCTCCTGGGGAAAAAAGCACCTGGAAGAGGGAGAACTTCTCCCCCTCTTGGGAAAGAGGAGATGAGGAACGCTGCCGTTCCTCCTCTCCCATTTTAGGGAAAAAGAAGCAGCCGAAGGAGAGGGAGCTCTGCTCGCCCTTTCCCCTTTTGGAGAAAAGAGGCAGCTAGAGAAGTTCTTCACCCTTCCTCCTGCTGGGGAAAAGAAGCAGCTGGGGAAGGGAGTGCTCCTCACACTTTTCCCTTCTGGGGAAAAAAAAGCAGTTGGGAAGAGAGAGCTGCTCTCCCTCAACCTGATACAGAGGAGTCTACTTCCCTTTTCCCCAGACTTCCTCCCCTCCCAACACGGAGCAGAAAAGGAGAATCCTCCATTTCTCCCCAATCCCTTTCCCCAGCAGTCTCGCAGTGTGAAGAGAAGAGGCAATTTCTCCCTTCCTCTCAGTACATGTTCCTTTGTCCTCTCTTTTCTTCCCTTCCCAAGAAAGAGGAGTGCCTTCCCTTTCGCACCCATCCCCCTCTTCCTTCAAGCATTGCATGTGGAAAGGAGGACAACCCTCTCTCTCCCTCTTTATTGATTAAATAAAAACAGCTTTGCTCCCGAAAAAAAAATGAGGTTGCTGCGTGGGACAGCTCCTGTGCCTAATGTCCCGTGCGCCGGAAAAAGGGATGTTGTGGAGCACTCTTTGGGAAGTCTTGATAACAGTTTGGGAAATAGTGTGCAGAGGTAATAACAACATTAATTAATAGGTAATACAGCAAATGTCAAGGCAAGTGCGAGCAGAGACATGCAATTATAATATTCAGAGGTTACTGCAGTATACTATCTAATTTACTAAATGACTGAAAAAGGCTGTTACTTTTATTACAATTGTAATGATAAAACGACGACGATAATAAGTCATCAGTGAAAACGAACCCAAAGCAACATTTTATCTTAGGGTGACAGGAGAGGTGTCTACAACAATTGCTTCCAAGACATTTGAGACTGCATACAAAATTTCTAATAACAATCGAACAGCGAGAAAAAAAGCATGTGGTTTCTTTATACAAAAAAAGATGCAGAAAACACGACATAAAGTTTAAAGAGAAACATATTATGAATAACACATTTACAGAGAATCATGTATTGAACGCCAATTGCATGCAATAAAACATACAAAAAAAGACAGAAAAAGAAATTAGGCTTTTGCCTAGCTTCGGTATCCTGTAAAAACAAGCCATTTGTGGGTAGCATCCAACATTTTCTGCGTTTGCTTTTCAAAACTCCATGGTTTAGTTTGGTTCCCACTTTTTCACACATGTATGCAATACTTCCAGAGACCTACTATCAGAGGTGCGTGCAAATCAAAGCAAATTCCACCTGAATAGAAATAACCCGTATGGGTGTTTCCAAGACATTACAAAAAACATTTTAATTAGTAATAACATTACTAGTACCATAGTTAAGTAGGTAGGACAGATCTTGCCATTCCGGCAACTCACTGCCCTTCCCTTACAGTCACTTACAAACAATCTTGCTAAACGCCAAGAAATACCTTTAAAAACTTATCGAGACATATTAGGAAAGAAACTCAGACTAACTTTGGGGATGGTCACAGACAAGTAGATTCATTTTGAGTCAGAACAGGTAAGGGGTGATAACCACAGAGAATGTCGCAGCGCCGTAAGAAGATAAGACGGCTCACCTTTTGAGGACTTGTCTGGCTTCACAAAGCCCAACGAGCAGCAAGCACAACATGCCGGAAAGGAACCTGAGATGACGCTCCAGGCCATTCTGAAGTTCCTCTTTTTCACGGAGCTGGAAGTAGGTGGACGTCGTCGTCGTTGGCACACGAGAGTGCGAAAGTCAGAAATTTTGGTGTCACGCAGTGTGTAAGTCAGGCGATTCGAATCATTTCGAATTCACCGGGGTGTTTTTCGACAAAGGAAGAGGAAAACGGGATCGTGGGTTGCCGCGGGGGAGTTTATTTCTGACAGATGAACGGTAATGAAAGTAATAAATTAGGGTGGTTTGTGTTCTTAGCAGCTCTTACGTTTTGTAACGTGTCCATAGACTTGCCGAATCGTGAGCACGAGTCAAAATGAACTTATCGGCGACCCAAGGTGCCACTTATTGAGTAGCAAAAGATACGGGAAAAGAACCTAACTGCAGAAAAATAAGGATTTTTCTTTTTGGTCCCAGTAATTTCACACGTTGAAATAGTGGAAAAAAACAAAAAACATGCACCAACCATCAAATTACACCTTCGTAAAATCTTACCAGCTTGAAGAGTCAAGAAACGGAAGAACGCTGCAAACCAATATAGTAAAGCGAGGAAAGAAAAGACGACCGACCGAGCCTTAAATTCGAGGGTCCCAACACTTTTAGACCGACTTGACCTCTTCTTCAGTTGGCACTGTTCTATTAAGAAACACGGCTTACTCATATTTATGGAGGCAAACTGTATTTTTCTATTCATCTCTGTCACTTGATGCAGCTTGTTGACATAAAACTAAAAAGCAAAGTGCCAAGGGGCCTATTGACGGTTCTTAGAGTGGCCCATAAGTCTATAGTAGTTGGCACATAGAGAAATTTTGTTTTCTTTTGACATCTCTTGGTACAGGTAATGTCATGTGCTTCAACTTTTGCCTTTCACCACCACCGCTAGCGCTACATCCTCACAGTCAACTTTCCACAATGCGTGGTTTATTTATGCGGGCCGAAAAACCAGCGATGGGTTCCCACGTGGATGAGCGGCCGGTCAGTCCCGCTCGTCCACGCGGGAACCCATCGCTCGCGAGTGGCTAACGAGCGCTGTCCGTTGTTCGACCGTATTCAGCAAGGTTCGGTAGCGCCATCTGTCGTTCTGCGCCAACGGTAAGTGTTGGGGTCTTTGATCGCGGTTTTTATTAAGCAAATCTGTGACGCATGAATGTAATTTTGGGTTTTTTAGGATGCTTAGAACTTGTAGATTGAGCTATGACCATAAAATGAGGAACTCAAGAAACACCGTAGTGCCCCTTTAAAAAGTTTTATTTGATTTCTCTTTCGCGTTCTTACACAATTGCAATCGGACATTACTATTCTTCTAGTCTTCGTTTATTTTGCGTTTGGATTTTGTTGCAATAGGATGTTACATAGCTGACTAGTGGAAGGTAGAAATCAAGCTTAACGCTCTGTACATCGTTTAGCTCTCCAATTCAGCCTTATAAAAATCTTCTTGATGATTCTTAGGTTTAAATCCAAAACAAATGAACATAGAGTAGACAACCAGAAAATATATATACTTTCATGATTGCTTTGGTGGAAAAGGTTTGATTTCAATCGTCACGGTAAAACTGGTTTCATTTAAATCACGATTTAAACCGATTTAATCTACAACTTAGATTATATTGATTTTTAATGTCCACCCTGTCTGCCGGTGACCTTATGGCAGAACCCGCTCACCTGAGACTCAAGCTCTTGTATCCGAGCGTTGCTCAGCTCCACCTCTGCCTCTAATTCCTGGAGACGGTGCCGGTAGTCTGCCCCTGAATCGTGGAGCAAAATGCGACGAGAAAACAAAGTTATTATAGGGAACATTCCCATTCGGTTGAAGATGTGTCAACGGTTATGAGATAAACAAGCTGTTCTCACAAGACGTCGCACAGGTTTCATTAGAAGTTACAACATCTGTTTGCATGAGCTGCGTATAAGTTGCCAGAGTTGCATCAATAGCTGAGCGAGTTGAACCAAAAGGCACTTCTAATGCAATCACGGTGCATTACAACTTGCAAGTTGCACTAGGAGTTGTACAAGTTGTACAAAAAGGTGCAAGATGCACTAGAGGCTACACCAAAGATTACAAAGTTGAACTATACGTTGCACAAACATCTCGACAGGGCAAAATAGAAGTTGCAAGAACACTGCATCAGAGGTTCTACCAGAGGTGGCAATAGAAGTTGGACTTCTATTGCACCCTTTGACAGTAAATGTTGGACAGCCATGTTTGAGTGAAAATATCGGTGTGCTGGACTTGGATGCAGTGTAGCTATCTCTGATCCTGACTTTTGTACTCTATGTATCGATGAGTCTGTGTTTCCTTAGTTGTCGTGCCTTAAAATCCGAAACGTTGCGAAAAAATCAGTTTTTGTCAAAACACTTCTTTAGGTTTGTTGTATACTCCATATATTACCTCCTCCGTAATTACGAGCACCTGATTCACTGAGAAAATATGTTTAGAAAAATCTTTAGTGGGTCTCGGCGGCTTCCAAATCGCGCTCAATCCGCGAAATCGAGCCGGACTTGGAGCAATTGCCGCTCCCATTGAACTTGGCGGACGGTTGCCATTTTGGTGTTGTTTGGAGTGGAGTTCCTTTTCTTCCATTTACCGCCCCTTAAAGGGGTACGGAAGTGAAATTTGAGCACCTACCTCTCTGTGTAGACACGGTCTCTTTTAAGACAGCAGCTCACAAACAGCAGTCTTTCGTCCGTAAATGCGAGAAAAGCAATTTTAAAACAAATAGTAAAACAATTTCCCAGCACCACCTGGTAGTTGGGGGGCCCAGCTTCGTTAGAATGTCTGACGTCACGGGTGCTTGGCACACCTCTCGGTTCTAATACACCATAGCTCGAGTATTCCAACTTAAAATAAAGTAGAATATTCCTCCCAGGATTTCTTTGGAGTTGACAAAACGTCATTTTGCGATACAAATTTAATGAGCCCAAATGAGGGTAATGTACTTTGAAGTCGGGAGCTGTACTTTCCTCAGAAAGTACCAGAAAAAAAAATACTTCAAGTAAAGTACAAGTTTATACTCGGAGAATGTACTTCAAGTAAAGTGAGTTTCCTAAACCTACTTGAAGCAACACCTTTAAGTACAATGTGCTTAAGGTACCTCCCAACACTGACAACTGCTCCTAACATAGTGCAAAACCTGTCACCTTTGGTGTCCACCATGTTTTTCGGAACAGCAACGATTCTTGAGGGCAAACTGCAAAATATATATAGAGTCGTGCCCATGTAGCAACCAGTAAAAGATTGATCCTATTATTGTTTACACACTGCCATATTATAACTACTATACCAGGTTTCCAGTTCCTGCAATCTACACTTTATACAATTAGGAGTCAACCATTGGCATTTATTTCAGTGTTACAAAACCGGCATCTGTCAGGTCAGCACGAGCAACACAAAAGACGAGCAAAAAACATTTTAATAAAAAACCAAGAAAGCAGCATATAAAAAAATAAAACCTTACTTGTATTGTGATGTTTATCCCTTTCCCAACTACCCCTGTGAAGTGAGGCACTATAAACATTCTGCGGCTCTTATGTCCGAAGTTTGAAGGAGGTTTGAATAGACCCTTTCCGAAATTCAGTGCCATCTGGTGGCTGAAATGGCGGCTTAACTTTTGCCATACGAATGGCGGCAATGAACCCGTAGCCTGCAGTATTTTATCAGGCACCGTCACTTTTGCATGTCAACGGCAGACGAGAATAAACTTTTCGCTATACAGGTTTTTCTGGATCATCTCTTCCAGTGTCGATTCCCACAACGATGCAACCAGTCAGAACGAAGTGCCAACCCAGACAGACGCCTTGATAAAGTTCTATAAGTCAATGGGTTTCGAAGTCAATTTTGTGAAACTAACAGGTTCACTGGGCTCGAATTAGAGAAATGAACACTTACGCAGCGCTTGCATTCAATTCCGGCTTCGCAACGTGCTAACGTCTAGAATGTATAGGCCTCGAATCCTCAGCTTAGGAGTATCTTAAACATGTTCCTTCATCAGTAAATCGAAAGCCGCCATTGGTATGGCACATATGCCATTCTTCAGATGATGATGATAGTGATAAAAGTGGCCAGACTGAATTTCGGAAAGGGTCTATTGGAAAACGGGGGGGGGGCAACTGCTCTCCCTCCCTCCCTCCCTCCCTCCTCCTCTTTCCTCCTACCCCTGCCATTTTGAAAATTTAATGTAAGCAATAGGAGAGAAGAGTAGGAGTGACTCGCTCACTCACTTGCATTGCCCCCCATTTCCCGAATATTTTCGACGGCTCTGGGTTTGAATCACATACAAACTCTCACTGCACAAAAAAAACTTTTTTTTACTATTTTTTAATTTTTAAAAATAAGCTTTCTATACTGCAGCCTAGATGTACAGTAATCCCTCGTTATAACGAAATCGCTTTTTTCGAACTACTGCTTTTATCAAAGCTCAGTGTGGTCTCGACCGAAACTTTTAACCGGAAGATTCTAGGTGTATCGGCGGCCGACCACACTTATTACGAAGGCCGCGCCGTTGAAAGCACGCAAGCTTACACAGAGGTGCATGGGAGGCCCTTGCATTCCCTCCCCCTTCTCCACCGAGGCAAACAGACAAACAGAGAAAACAGAGTAGATACGTAACGGAGGGCAGAGCACGCAGAGCTGGCAGAGTGCCACTTCGGTGTCGATGCGCTGATGCAAGGACGCGGGCAGAGAGCATCGTCAGCGTTCCGATGCTACTCACGGCGCCCGCGGTAAGTAGTACGCTGCCCGACTCCTGTAGTGAATCGGATCAAGGGAGCATAAACCATGGATGAGATCATCCCTTTGAGAGCCCCCTACGCACATGCCTGTAGGTACTACACGCACACGTGCGTCGTATGGGAGACTGGGAGTGTTTACCAAAAGTCGCTCGAGGTTCAGATAAGTGGCCGGCCCAAGTCCGAAATTGCCAAAGAATTCGACATTCCGTCATCGGCTGTTCGACACTGTCCACTATTTTGCAGAACAAGCAGTTTCTCATGCAGAAGAAAGCGCAGCCGCGAACCGAAGATGAGAAAACGCCAACTACTTTGCGCACGTCGGATTTTCTCTCACGAGCATGCTTGCCGAGCTGGCGCACGATTTCGATGGCTGCAACAATCTCTACAGGAGTGTGTGAAAACATGTCGGCAAAGCCACCGAGAATAACTTTGATCCTTTTGCGCTTGTCAATGCGGACATTCCCGTTGTTGCTCCTGTCACAGATGCTGCGACCGCAGATCTTGCGTGCAGCCAGAGTAAACTTGAAGCAACTTCGGAGAGGCATTTTGAGAAACTCCAATGACTGCGGAGACGCGAAACATGCTACGGCTACTTCGAAACAAAGCGGAGTGCAGCAGCAGCGACAGTGTTCTTCCTATGCCTGGAGCAGTTCGAGAAAACTGATGCCCGGATGAAATCATTAGCAAACTCAGCTTAATTATTTTTTCACTCGGTAAAGCTGCCGTGGGATGTTCATAACCAAACTTTCTTTAATTAAATACACGTTCAGTGTTCCGCAGCATTCCCATCCCCCTTCAAAACTGCTAACTTCTTTTTTTTTTTTTCTTTATTGTTTTTATTGAATTAGTGCTTATATCAAATTTTTTCGCCATCTTGTTGACTTCGTTATAACGAGAGATTACTGTACGTAATACCTTTCAAAATAAAAAAAAAGAAGAACTTCTATAAAGAGCAGCCAAAATACCTATGTTCAGGCTCCATCCACGTATCAAAATCAATACTAGCCATACTTGCTAAAATGACGAAGCATCATAAACAGGAAGCAAAAAAAGAATTCACCTGCTATGAGCCGTTGGACACGGCAAGATCCCGTCTGTCACGTCCTCCTAAAAGATGAATTGCAATTGATCTTTTATGCAATCACCATCTATACCGTGTCAACGGTGATTACAAAAGTCGTTTACAGGGATCCAACTGCCAACTCAAGCCACCAAAAAATTCATCATAAATAAGTGTTGACAGACGATGAAGTAGGTGCCTTTTCTTCACACGCAAACTACATTAACCTACACACATTCAGAAAAATAAAATAACTTGCAGTAGCACCTTTAAACATGTCTTCAATCCCGTCTTCACTCCTAAAAAAGTTGCATTTCAAACTGCTCCCCCCCCCCCCCTCTTCCCAAAAGTCATTTCTCCGTGTAATGCACTCAGTGGCGTCACAAGGGGGGAGGCGGGGGAGAGGGGGGGGGTTCGTGGCAGATTACCGTTTTGGGTGCCACTGAATGCACTGCAACATGCCATCGAAACAATGTGCAATTAATTTTTTTAGATGATTAGCCGAGAAAAACCGAGTCTCTCTCAGCAAACACATGGCAGAGACATGCAATGGAGGAAAGTCATGCGAGTAGCATCACACACCGCAATTACTAAGCATTCTAAGGTTTTATTTTTCTTCGGATCAACGTGTTCTTTGGTGTTTGGGCAATCACGCAATGACATCTTGCAGATTCTGACATTATTACGAACAAAGGGGTGGCTCAGAGAGCTCGCAACTTTTTAAACGTTCCAGTCTATTGGCGTCGTCGCACGTAAGTGAGAAAACGAGAGGCGGGAAGCTTCGAGCAGTCCCTTCTAAAACCTATGTATTGTTTTATGCAAGATACGATGCAATATTGCGGCGCAAATAATTCTTTTCTTGGCAGTCAAGCTCTCGTAGCTAAGCTTTTGTAAAAAAGCTAGCACCATTCATAAATACCTCCTTAGAAGCCCTGTAACACATTGTGCACCGACTTAAATTAAACCCTCAGTTAGATTTAAACGAAACAAAAAATAAAAGTGTATGTTAAGTATGCGAGGCCTGAAATTCCCTACCTCGTCCAGGGCAGACACCATGTCCCAGGACTGAGCCCTCAGAATCCCGCGAAACGGAGTCCTGAGCACAGCCCCTCTTTGCATCAGCTGCAGTGACAATAGCATAAAACAAAAATTACGAAGACATCATTACTACAGAATTAGAAAAGACATAAAAACCCCGAAGAGTTAGTACGCAGGTTCTTCTCTCTTTTCTTTTCTTCAGACACTTCATTTCTATGTCAAGTGTAATATGATCCACAAGGATATTACAAATACACAGTATGATTTCTTGGAGCCGAGCTCCAAGAGACAAGGAAAGAACTGTTCCAGATACTTAAAATTCTACTGATCAGAAAGCAACAAGTCGATTCAAGGACTCATTATGAACACTATACTCCGTTTCACCTTCAGCCCGAGCGCAGCGGACTGAAGCGTGGAGAGAGTGTCATGTGCCCTTGAGCTCCCTGTGTCCCTCTGCCCAACCGGCAGGTCACGCGATTTTCTCCCGGCGCTGGATCGGCTGGGATAGCCTGTGGCGTCCACTGCACTCAGACTGAAGGTGGAACGGAGTATAATACTAGAGATCCACCATTCCAAGAGTTCTTTGATTCCAAAAGTTCCACTTATCAGAGTTCCAAATTAATAGGATTCTACTGTAGCTAAGGCTAATAAAGATCTCTGTTCAATATTAATTTAAAACAACAATGTTTAATTAACATCAACAGCTACAAGTGAACTGATTCTGTCACTAGCTTCAATCCTCCAACAAATATAACGAATATCCAAACCAGGTCAACAGTAGATAGACTGACGTCCTTGTTTCATGGTTAGTATGTAACTGACATCATAAGACAAATACGGGTCCGTGGAATTTTATGAAGGAGTAGACGCGACGCATTCGGCGGCTTTTTCCATGGCGGCTTCTCCAAAACCATGTTCCGCTCCCGTTCTTACCCCCCCAGGGCGATCCGTTTGGTTGACTCCTGACGTCGGCAGTGTGCCTATAGTGTTTTGGTTTGTCATTAGGGGAAACTTGGATTTCGGTCCCTAGAAAAAAGGGTGCTTCAGTTTATCCCTAGGAAAAACGGGTGCTTCAGTTTGTCCCTAGGGAAAAATTTCCCCATAGCACGACTAAGTACAGTGGTACCACCAGAGAACAAAGGAGACTCGCCAGAGTGCTGCTGTTGGTGGAATCCTGGCAACGCTTGCTTCCCAGCATTGCCTCTTGGCAAATAGGCAATGACGAAAGACCCCCCGGCGACGCACACCGCTCGTCGAAGACCCCTTCGTCGCTCTCGAAAGCTCCCTCGCCGTTGCAGCCGCACGCCGAGCCAAGGAGGGGATCCGAAGGGGACGACGAAGAACTGCCCGTTAGGGTCGCCGAAGTCATCGAGGTGGTGAGGGAGGCTTCCAGGGACAGCAGGTTGTCCCTCAGGCTGAGCGGAAAAAAAAGGTATCGGGGGAAAAACTTGTTAGCAGCCCTTACCCGCAAAGTGCTGCGATGCATGAAATGCAGTGGAATGAAATACCATTTCAACAATTTTCGAGGGGCCACAAGAAAAAGTTTGCTTCGGTGAAAGTGCGCTCGACTGCGTGCACTGGACACAATGGGGGGAATTTTACGAAAGTTTTGTTCATCCGAATAGTTTGTTAAACTGGAGTTTGTTCAAATGATATTTCACGGTTTAGAAGACGTCGAACATATGTCTCGGCAAGTGAACGAGAACCAACGTTACTAAAACACTCAGTTGGGAAACTCGCCGTCGAAACCTGGGCCGCTGGCGTCCACCGAGACCGAGCTAAATGCGACAACAGCGCCACTCTTTATCATATGTCTGTACTGTGGTCACCTCGAGCTTTTTGAAAGCCTGTTTTTGCGTAAAAACAAACGGAAAAGACTCTTTTTGTATGAAATTTATTGGAGATTAGTACCAAATGATGGGCGCGTGATGTTTTTATCATCTTTAGTTCGCAAGGTTTTGCGGAACAATTAATATTGTTTTTATACAACCATGCCTCAGCGGGCCTTTCAGGTAGCACGTCCCGCCCTAGGTGCATTTTAACTTCAATAGCTCAACGCGGCGCGTCCGCCGGGGAGACGGGGGTGGCACCCCTGTAACCTCTACCGCTGTATCTGTTCTTAAAGCCAAAATAGAAGTCACGTGCAGTTCCTCGAGTGGCCGCTGCGGGAGAAATGGTGGCGTTGTGTTCGTCATTAGCTCGGTTCTCGGAGACAGTTTGGGGCCACTTTTTCAAAGCTGCCTCTATGGGAGTTTCCCAACTGAGTGTTTTAGTAACGTTGACGAGAACACATAGTTTGTCGATCGACACCACGTGATTGCGTCGCAAGATGCCAGGTCGCACGATGTGACATCACGGCGTCAAGTCATAGTGTCGGATGATGTCCATTTCCCCGGAAAACTTAGTAGAGAACTTGACATCCTATTGTTGCAGTTGGAAAAAAGGATGACAAACATAAAACTAAAATAAAGGGTTTAATTGGCAGACTTGTGCCAGAAACAAAAGAATGAACGAGCGTCGAGGAAACAGCAGCAAGCGTCGAGATGACAGCTGGCTACGCGAGAGCCCGAAAATGAGTCGGCGAGGCTGTCTGGGCTCCTTATCTATAGCATTCGGTATATCAAACATTCTGCCTAGAATGTTCAAGACTGATTCGGCAAGGCCATGTTGGCCTCTTATCTTCTACACTCAACATCTTGAACCTAGAATGTTTCAGTGTTGATCGCTTCGAGCAAGAGTAAGCATGAATCATCCAGAGGTATAAAGCGTTCCTCTTGACCATCCACGTGGCAATGACATACACCGATTCAATTTTACAATTAGATTTAGCGGGGAAACGATTCCCACATGACCAATAACAGGTGACGCGACCTGAATGGGCGTATAATTGAGCACCGATCAAATTTCTCGCTAACATTTAGCAGGGAATCACACGGACAGATGGATGACGGACGGACAGACCACATTCTGGGAGTAAAAAAGTTCCTTTCAAAATCTTTTTTTTTTTTTTTTTAAAGGATTTTAGTCAGAATTTTTACCTTAACCTTGCTTTTGAAGTATTCCAACTTTTTTCAGGTTTTCTATCTGAGCCATTTTGGGTGAAACTCCTGAACCAATTAGGTACTCGAAATCCAAAATGCCTGATAGTTGTCAATGATGGAAGTAGGCAGGATCTGTTCATAGAGAAGACTGATTTTAAGAGAAAAAAAAACATTGAGGTACACCTAAGCATTCCTTATGAGTTGTGAATGCGAAAGCATGCAAGCCGTTCATCCGCTCCCTTTTTCGTCTGCTGCGTACTCTTCGTCGTTGGTTGGCGCGTGTGCTCCCCTGGTGACCTTGGACGCTCCGCGCTGGTGGACACACAGCGCCATGGGGTGAGCGGTCATGGAAACTGATGAGCGCAGCGGCCAATGGAAGCCCCGTCGACGCGTGCCAGCCAATGAAACCGAAGGAAACTATGTGCCGTTTTCGCGCTTCAGACTGATGACGTCAGCTCGCTCCATGAGACAGTTAATGCTTTCGCATTAATATAAAGGTATATAGTGAAGCAAGGTTGAAGTATGTCTGTAATAACTGGCACATCTCTTTGAAGTGTTAATACAGTGAATATAATCATATTGAAGATTTTCTCCCACCAGTAAAAAAGCTACATTCATTATAGAGAGGTTTCACTGCAGTCACATATTGCAAATGCTACTTTTAGTTTTGGCACACCTGCTTTTTACACCACAAATGACATGTATTTTGGAAGTCACAGAATCTTCCTCAAATACGACAACTTGTAAGGCCAACAATTAAGGCGTACCAGCGAGTGGCATACAAGTGGGACGCTGTCACCATTACTACCAGATTAGCAGTACCTACCGCGAGTTCTCGCTCTGAAGTTTGCACAGTTTTCGCTCGAGTTCAGCCTTCTCTTGCTTCAGAGACTGTAAAGCACAGGCAAATGTATTTGAGCCAACAAAAAGAAATTTATTCAAATAATGCAACGAAAAGAATTTAATACTAATACTACCTTGATAGACTTAGAGATCTCGACCACGGTCAGGGCAGTGCTCTCAAGCTTGGAAGACTCCTGCGCAAACAAAGCAAAGATGTTCCCCGATGAGCATAGAGGAAACATGAGCCTGGGTGGCATGAGAACTGATGACGGCAAAAACAATAAATGAAAGATAAACGGTCGATAACATTCGTAGGAAAAACAAAAAAGCGATTGGGCTGTTATCGTTGAGGTGTACAACCGATTCGACACCGTGTGTGGGTGCAACATTGTAAAGCTCGGATACTGACCCAAGTCAATCTGAGCAAGTACCTCATAGATAAAATAGTAAGGGTGCAGGCCAGCTGGTGAATGTTAACCATGTTGATGAACATAAAAGTCGAAGGAACAGAAAGGGACAGGACGACGTCTCAAACTCATAATTTCTGCCCCAGTCTTAGGTTTATTCAACATGGTTAAGTCCCTCATTGCTACTTAAATAAAAATACAAAAGTATTACCAAAATGATGACAAGCAGACAGAGCGGTAAAAAGTCCGTCAAAAATATGGCGAAGCAAAAGGTATCCATAACGACGAGTGATGCAGCAAAAATAGAAATACAGTGAAGCAAAGTTGAAGCATATGCTTCTAATACAGGGATAGGCACTTGAAGTGCTAATATAATTACACGAGGGCACTTTAGACGGCTTACATGTAGGAAGGCGAAAGCAATATAGTCGCAGAGGAGAAAGTTTTAGAGTAATGTTTCTACACGTATTAAAGTTTAGGACGACGTATAGGGCGACGTTGACGACTAAGTAGAGATCGACGACAAGTATGGCATCTAGGACGACCTCTAGGACGACTTCTGGGACGACGTGGAGGTTTTGACGTCAAGACGGCGTCTAGGACGGCCTCTCGGACGACATCAAAGACGATGCCTCGGACAACGTCTAGGACGGCATCTAGCACAACCTCTAGGATGACCTCAAGGACGATGTTGAGAACGATGTCTAAAGGACGACGTCTAGGATGTCGAGAATGATACTTAGAGGACGATGTAGAGGATGACCTCTAGAACAACGTCTAGGACGACTTCTAGAATGACTCCAAGAATGACGTCTAGGATGAGATCTAGGACGACCTCTAGGACAAATTTACAGACGACGTCGAGAATGCTGCATAGAGGATGACGCTGAGAACGAAGCCTAGAGAAGGACACTTAGGGAGGCTGTGGCATATTTGCGTGGGCGGCAACGTTTGCCTGGAGAAGCCACCGTAGATGTAGATGCTGTTGCCAATGTCAAGGCCGGAGACAGAGACGCAGTCGCCTCACAGTCCATTGCAGGAAGCACACAACGAGCACAGATGAAGTCCGAAGTGCACATTTTGCACACGGCGTTCCGGTGGTGACATCGCGCTCATGACGTATGATGACGCTTGATGACATCATGCTGATGACGACTGATGACATTTTTATGGCCATATTTCGGTCACAACGCCGACGACGCTAGTTTTTCACATAACGTGACAAGTGAGGTCGTCCTAGAGGTCTAGGGCTCCTAGGACGACCGCAAGGACGATGCCAAGGGAATGGGACAAGTAGGGTCACCCATTGTGCGGCACATGCCACTCAATCGTATTCGTATCGCTTCATACGTTTTTTCCCACAATGGGGCAAGTAAGGCTTCTGCCCTAATAACTGATAATACTGATATAGCAAAAATATATCAAAAAAAAAAAAATGGGCCCTAGATTAGGGATGCCGCGTCTACTTTGTTTAAGCTTAATTAAGTCCAGATGCAGCCGACGCCATGAGGTAAGGGGACCAATCAAGCAACGTCAAAAGTGCAAGTCATCAAGCCTTTACTGTTTACGATTTGTTGAGCGATGATAGAAGATGTAGAGAAACGTCAGCTGCGTCTGGACTGAAGGTGAAATGAAGCATACTAGTACCGTTACCGGAAGTAGAAAACAAAGAGAAGAGACAGACTCACATCGCTGAGGAGTTCCTGCAGCTTGGTGTTCTCCTGCTCCAACCTCATCATACACTCCCTGTTTCTGAGGGCCTCCCGCCGATGCTTTGACTCGCGCTGCTCCGAGAGCGAAAGCTCGTTCTTCAGCTGGTTCACCTGCGACAAAACCACATGCGTAAAAATCAGTCTCGAAAGGTCACCTGAGCCGCGATAAAGTTAAATTGCAAATGCAGCCATCCTCTCGCAAATGTTTTTAGTTTTTGTTAGGGTCCCTCGCAAAGAATCACCAGTTTACATTCCAATGAATTTCCGAATGTCAGACGTCGAGGCGAGCAGAGATTGTCGACTGACGGGTCGGTTCTTGAGGCCGGACCGGTATTGGCACAGGCCTCTCTTGATTCGGTGCTCTCCTCAAGGGAGCAATTGCAAGTGCGAACTCGTGTACCTGTCAATGCAATTTCAGTAAATACTTACTGCGAGAGAATTTACCAGTTAGGCCAGAAACGTAACTCCGCCACTGTTACAGTTCCTGAATCTTAACTGCAAATTAAAGAGTACATTGTAGTTACACTGAAATTTGAACTATAATTATTATTTACTGTAAACTTCGACTCATAATTTTGTTATTTTACAGTCAGTCCTCAACAGAACCCCTCTCACCATCATTTATGTTAAAATCCTAAAAGGGGTACCTGAGATATGCGTACTATTGTACCCGTGCTGCTACCATGTACTACAGGTGTGGTAGCAGTATGGATACAATAAGTATGGTAGCCAAACCAGCAAAACTGCGAGCATGGTTACAAGACAATGCTCTGCTTCCCCTTAAGTCGGACAGCAGACGAAGCTACGGGGCGTACCAGCCAATCCAGGGCTGCGAAGGTGTTGCGTGACTATGCGCCCCATGCAACGCTGTGTTAACCCCGAAGGTCACGCAACACACTCACGCAGCACTGGATTGGCTTCCGCAGCTCCTAGCATCCTTCGCGGCCCATCGTAAGGTGAAATAGGGTATAGCAAACTGTCGACGTACAACAATCGTCTGTCCCTAGAAACTGACTCAAATATCTCACAGCACCAGCCCAAAGCCAAAAAAAATTGCGCAGGCAGTCAGACGGCGTCGGCTGGTGCGACATTTCAGCGATACTGTGTCGCAATTGACTGGAAATTATGGCGACGTTCTGTCGCGCTGTGTCCTGCATAAACCATGACCAATCGCACACGGAACGGCTGGCACCAAACACGCCCTCGCGGACGCGCCGCACAAATCGCTCGGAGGCACCAACGTGTCCACTCTTTCCTCGGTGACGTTTTCTCCTGTGGGCCACTTCACGTTCATGCACAGCACCATCTTGACATAGAATGCGTTCCATCCTAACACTCGGGGTAAGAACGTCGGCACCCACACGTCGAGGACGTTCTCTTTCAAGGACACGTTTACGGCGTCCAGCAGCCACCCGTTCTTGCGCGCATAGGCTTAGGGCACCAAGGGAACGGGCGACCGAAGGCGAGAGACAGCAGGTGGCGAGGAGCGCTGCGCCTCACCTGCGACTATTATCGAGGAAAGGGCGAGGGTACCGCTGTTATACTCGCCCTCTCCCGGCCAAAGCCACCTGCGACAGACGCGCGCCGTGGGAAATTTTTGGGGGAACAAACTCACTTCCAGGATGTGCTTCTTGAGCTCTTCCTCAATGACGGCCTTGGCTGCGTTCGTGCGCTGGACCGCCCTCTCGGAACGCTGGCAGGCGGCGTCGCTGGCCGCCAGGGAGGCCCTCGTATCCTCCAGTTCGGACGAACTCACCTTCCAGCGCTCCATCTCTGCGCACAGGCTGCGGAACGTGGAAAATCGATTGGCTTCTGCGATGAGCCCTTTCGTTATGGTGCCCAGAACGTGTCTACTACTGGTGCGTGAAGCGTCCTTCTAATGTTGCCCGTTCGTCAGTCTTTCAAATGACGAAAAACAAATCAGCAGCGACTTTTATAACACATGAAACGCAGCGTTCAAGAAGAGATTGTTTAAATTTGTTTCGAGGACGTTGCACATTACGGGACATTAAGGCATCGATTCGTGCTGTCACGCGAGCCGTTGTCACGTGACGCGACTTCACAACGTCACGTCCATAATGTTGCACACTACCGTGAAGTCATGGTGTGACGTAACAATTCGTGCTGTCACGCAAGCCTTTGTCAAGTGACGTGACTTCACGGTGTCACGTCGTTATGTTGCCCGATACTGTGAAGTCATGGTGTCACGTAACACTGTGACATCCGACGTGATCACGACATTACATCATCAAGTCGTGGCATCACCCGACACCGCGATGTCACGCGATGCGGTCACGTGACAGCACGTCACGTTACAACGTGACTTGACAACTAACTGGTTGCACCGACATGCCTTGCCGTGACATACGCATGAACGGATCGACGGACAAATTTCTGTCGTGGAGCGTTCCCGGCTTCCGTCGTGGAGCGTTCCCGGCTTCAAAATATATCGCAAGAGTCGCTGGATGATGCCAAGGGTTGTTGCAACCCTGGCAGTTGGTCATTCAAGCGTCGGTGAAGCAAACGAGTGGGCACGGGCCTCTGTTGCTGGCAAAACCACTGTGCAAACTGTCATGGAATCACCAAATTAATCTGCACTCTTCTAAGGGGTCATGTAAAACGCACCTGCGAATGCGCTCGAGCAACCTGGAGTTCTCAGCCGCCATCGTCTGGTTGGCGTCGTCTGCCTGGGTGATCTGCTTGAGGAGTTCCCCTTTCTCGCGAGTGAGCTTGAGCACCATGTGCTGAAGCTGCTCCACTTCTTTCGACTCCCTGCGCAATGTGCAAAACAAACGTGGCGCTCCAGAACGTGGCGCTCCACACTGCACATGGATACCGATTCAGTTTCCGCGCTAAATTCAGGGGGGAAAATGACGTCACATGACTCAATGCCACGTGACAAACACGCAAATTCGGTTTTCCCGCTAAATTTAGAGGGAAAATTGACACACGACTCGCCGCTGCTCTTTTAATCATGTCTGCAAGTGATTGCTTAATAGTCGGTTCTGCATAAATTTTTTTCCTCCGGAAATGTGAAAACAGTTCACAACAGAGCACGACAGGGTCACCCGAGCTTCCGCAGTGTTCACCAATCGCGCCTGCTCTGTGCTAGGCACCAAAATGGCGCCCACAAGTAAACCGCAGAATGAGGTGATAATACTTTAAGCGTAACTTATTCAGAGGCTCTAAGCGTACCTGCCTATCGAGCTTGTCTGCTGCGAGAGCCTTCGGCGAGTCGGTTTCCCCGTCACGCGTCCTTGTAATGCGGTGAAGCCGGCGCGACGAGACTCCAATCTTTTTATGCCGTTTTTACTTGCGGATTTATTTATTTGGTACTTATAACTACTTTACCCCGTAATGCCCCCTCATAACCTTCCGAAGGGTATGTAGTGAAACAAAATATAGTGTATTTTCCACAGTGCTGTTGCTGTTGTAGCCCCACACTGCATGAATGAATCCTGCACCTCATCCACACTTGCTCTCGTGTGAAGAAGGCACCAAACGGAGCCACCTGCTCGCGAAATTACCCACAACACCGTAGAAACCGTGTTAGCATAAAAAAGTTGAAGTCAAAAATAGGTAGCACCTGGAACATTTATTTGGTGTGCAGTATGCAATAAAAAAATAAATAATAAAAAAGTGAAAGCCGTTTAGGACTCCCTGTAACGCTGAATTGGAGCGCAGCTCTTGAGGTGGAGGAGGGAAGGGTACTGAGGGAAGGGTAGACCCCTCCTCCTCTTCCTCCTTCTTCCCTTTATTCTTTAATATGCTCCGGGGGGTCACCTGACCTCGGGGGGAGGGGGTCACGTGACCTCGGGGAAGGTGTCACGTGACTTGGGGGGGAGGGGGGTCACGTGACCTCGGGGAGGGGGGCCACATGACCTCAAGGGGTCACGTAGGGGTCACCTTGGGGGTCACGTGACCTTGGGAGGGGTCACGTGACTTTGGGAGGAATCACGTGACCTTGGGAGGAATCACGTGACCTCGGGAGGGTCACATGACCTGGGGGGTCATGTGACCTTGCGGTGACCTTGGGAGGGTCACGTGACCTTGGAGTGACCTTGGTGACGCCGACGCCGCTCAAGCCGGAAACTGGCACCCAAGAGCTGCGCTCTAAAAAGAAGAAAGCACTTACTGGAAGCTGACGTCGCCAGCAATTCCTTCGTGGCTTCCGAAACTGAACAGCGATGCACCCAAGGCCGACAGCGATTCTGGACAACAAGGAACGTATACGGGAGGAGAAGAAAGAAGGACAAGCGTACGAAGCCAACATTAGGACGTACGTTTTTTCCTACCAACACGAGGAGAAGCCAAAAGACAAACAAAAGCGATCTTATTCAGATAAAATTGCATGCCTGTGGAGCCATGGCATTTCCAACTCTAAATTAATTTATGTGCAATGTTAATGAATACTTGGGAATAAGGCCAGCTGAACATGAAAAACACAGAGAAAAAATATGACATTCGCACCGCTGGCCCCATTCACAAGCAATGAACCAACTTGCTCAGCTAAAGCCTGTATATATGAATACTCTCCATTCAGTAACACTTTAACCTCACTGCTAGTGTGTGTGGGTAAATTTGATTAAATGTGGCCAGAAAACAATTTTTCTGTTGAAGAAAATCCCTTGCGGTGCCCCCCGAACTTGTGTAGCGAGACAGCAATAATAATCTTAATTTGAGGGGGATATAGAGGATGAAAATGTTTTACTCGTTTATGTGTCCGCAAAGCCAAGCAAAGAGGGCTCGGCTTGCAATGATAAATTGTCACTTTCTCCTACTTTCTTATAAATCTAGCTTTTTTTTGTTTTTTTTTTTCATGTATAGAATATATGAGAGACAAAGCGACTTACAAGAAATGGTGCCCAACGGAGTTTAACAACCCGTAAAATGAAGCCATAAAGCAGACAACTACCTTAAGGCGAAAAAGTTTTGACACACACACAGAACTCGGAAACAAAATGCAAAGAGTCAGACTTAACAAGAAAACTATAGTAAAACTTAGGTTTCTTCACAGACAACACTACAGCATGTCAACTAACACTTTTAAGTAGGGTTCTGCGAATAGTGCTTCGAATCGAATAGCACTGCATCATTTGTAGCTTTGACAATGCAAGGAAAAGCCAAGACGACCGGTTCTTTCAACAATGCAGAAGCTATAGACGACGCTGCGCCATTCGATTTGAACCACTATTCACGCACCCCTACTTTTAAGGCCACTTTAGATGGCCCGCAAAAATCAGTTTCTTAACGTATCGCATTGCGATTTACAACAAAGGTGCAAGCAGGTGGTAAAAGTTTACAGTGAAAAAATCAAGGAATGAGCGCAGCGTCCAGAGCTGGCCGATTCGGGTTCTCTTGCGGGACCGTCTGCTATCACAGCCTGAACCGTCTGGCACTCCCTTGACGCGGCATACGGAATCTGTCGGCAGTTCTTTTCATTACGCCCGCATCGTCTGCGAAGTGGCGGCATAGACTGGCCAGAACAGGTTTCCGTTTTGTTTTTTTTCCTCTTTGAACGAGGCAAGTTCACTCCTTTATTTTTCCTCTTTGAGCTTCCACCACCTGCTTGCACCTCTGTAGCAAATTGCAGCGCGATACGTTGAGAAACAGATTTCCGCGGGCCATCTGAAGTGCCTCAAAAGCATTGGTTTACAGGCTGTAGGTCTAAATGCTTCTTCGAAGCGCTATGCCGACTAGCCCCCACCGAAAAAAGGCCAAAGCGTTAGTGCTGCCAGGCACACCCGGAGAAAAGTTATTTCCAGATTGTGAAGAAGCAGGGAGGTAGCCAAATGCCATGCTCAAAAAAGCAAGTGAATCAATATGCGCAGCATTGAGCAGCATGCAGCCCTTTAGTTGTCATGGCATAGTATACTTAAAAGCATACAATAAAGCTGCTGGATTCAACCGGTATTACTAGAATCGGGAATTGAACCCACTTTGCAGCTTTACGAGTAATTTTGAAATAAACCGAGAAAAATGTTTTTTCCTGAACATCGATAAACTTGGCAGTAACAGTGGCAGTTTATTCTATTTATTAGGCTCTACGCAACATTTCGACCCGATGTAGAACTCCCGACTTCTCCCATAGGAAAGACATGTTTTTCATTTGCTAAAGCTTTGAAAGGTAATACTGACACCTACAAAAACTCGCTTACTTTTTCGCATCAAACACTAGATATTGACGTCAAGACACTCCCCAAATTTCCTTTTACCTGTAAAGTCACATCTATACTCAAAAAAACTGAACAAAAACTGCATGGCAAATTTCTAAGGTAATTGTGTTACATATGTGAAATTTTCCAGCAACGCAAAAGTTTATATCGTCGTTCAACAGCACGTCTAGCCTGTTTAGCCAGACGCCTCCGTTCGCGGCGCTCTTCATCGGATTATTTAATGCGTGGCATGCATACACTTGAAATGATATACCTAATGACTTCCCAGAACCTTTTAACCCACTCTTCCTCTCCCACCTCGCCTCCTTGCCTACCTCTCGTCCTAACTCCACCCCTGGTCACATGACCTTCCCGTCGACCGATCACCACCGAGCATCTCATTCCTCCTCTCCCACGCATCAACCGATCAGTGTCGAGCCTCGCGGCCAAGCTTTTATTAGGGCTTCACTATTGGGCTTCACGAAATGCCGAACACCCAGTCAAATAACGTTTTATATTAACATACCGAAGCAAGAGGACGTGTGTGGTGCACTATGGCATCAAATTGCACAAGAGTCACGGGGAGTTACTCCCCGTGGACGGGAAGTCACTCTCCGCAACCCCGTGCTTGGAAGAGCTTTAGAGCAATGCGCTTTTGGTGTTTTGGTGGTCATTAAAGGATATCCTCCATAGATTCTGTTACTTTTAATTATGAATACACGACTCAGATTGTCTAGAACTGAAAAAATATTTTCTGCAATTTTCGGATAGAAAAAGAGCTTGATTTACAAATACGTTTCCTGCCAGGTGCAAGGATCAGTTCCAGCAAACAATCTCCCCCTCCCCTGAAAGCATGTACAGACAGTGCTAACCTCTAGGGAATGATAACAGCACCCAACAAGTTCACTATTAGGGTTTCTAACTGCACCCCAAAATAAAACATTGACAATTAACGGCACCCAAAAGTAGCTCCCAACAACACTCTTGAGTAATACAAGACCAACGTCACACCAGCAGCCATTGAGGTAGTCTTGGTGCCGAGCACACACCACCTTCTAAAGCACACACTTCACACCACTGAATTCTCTCTGCTCGGCAAAAACGAGTGGGAACGGCCACCGTGCAAGGCACTTATAATTTTCGACAAGAGCAGCAGAAACAACAGTTTTGTACAACAGTTACACGCATGGCCTTTAACGACAGCACCCAATAACCGTACCCAACAAGAGGGTCATTGCAGACCATCGTATAATTATTCTTTGTAACTGAAGAAACAAGTTTGCGCTAACGGCTTCAGACAAGTGTACTAAACGACCATGCTGAACAACATACTCAATCGAGTTCCCGATAACAGCATCACCTAATAATTCTCGACACACAGCAGCAGAAAGAAAAGTTCCAGATGGCAGTGTTCGATGACGGTACCCCGCGAAACACTGATCCAGCCCGTTGCAACGTGTAAAACAGGTGTCAATCGGCGAGGGATGATTATGGCAATGATAGGAACATCCGGAACCTAGAGCACGGGTTCTCAAACTGGGTTCCTAAGAACCCAGGGGTTCCCCGGAGTATTCTCGTTGTTCACCAGAGTAGCCTTGGAGTTCCCCAGATCGCCCTTGGGGTTCACCAAATTGCCCTTGGTATTCCCTAGAGTCCCCTCGGGGTTTCCTGAGATCCCCAATTTCCTCAACCGTCCCTAAGTAAAGTGTTTTCCTTTTTTAGACAGAGACACTTTTTCTTTATGAGGCAGAAAATACAAAAAAAATAAAAATGTTTTTGAAATTGTGCTTCAACGCGATAGCGTTCAGGAGCTCATGTCGCAGAAAATCTGATGTCGGCGCCAGTGGGACCAAAAGATTCCGTAATGCAACGCACACAGTCACGTGTGACGTCACACGTGGCTGTGACGTCATGACCCTATCGACCCGCCAAATTTTCCCGCCAGACTTAGCAAAAAACTTTCCCACCAAATGTAGCAAAAAATTCTCCCACCAAATATAGCAGAAATTTTTCCCACCAAATTTAGTGAAGAATTATCCCGTCAAATTTTGCAAAATATTTTCCCGCAAAATTTAGCAGAAAAATTTTTGCCAAAATTAGCAGGAAATTTTCCCGCTAGATTTAGCAAAAACCCTTTTCTTGCCAAAATCAGTGTAAACTTTTCCGCTAAATTTAGCGCGTCAATAGGGTCACGACAATTTTACATCACACGTCACGTGGCATGACATCACACGTCACGTGACATGACGTCAAACTTGATGTAATGTGAAGTCACATGACACGGGACACGTGACGTTACCGACTAGCCTACAAACCCACGCATGCACGGCTTGTAGCACTGATTTATATGAGAAGGCTTGGCGAACGGGGCCCGATAACACTATCGCGTTCCACTCTTAAAGGCAAAGCCCCCAATCTTTTTAAGATTGACAGGCCTGAAGTGCTTTTGTTAGGTAAGTCTCTTTTAATTTAAAATATTGACTTGAATGAAAACATAGTAAAACAGGTCTGCGCATGTTTTGACTATTACTTCAGAACGAACTATTTGCATGCTTTGCTAATTCATGAAAGCCATGTATACACTTGCACACATTCAGTCTTCATCGTTTTTAAGGCAAAAGCCTTACTTTTCCTATTGAGCGAAAAAGTGGCATATATGGCCATAAAAATATGATTGAGTGAAACGCGCCGCTCAATCATATGCTCAAGGACGACGCTGTCCTCTGCATCGTCCTAGACCTCAAGGACGATCTTCTCCCATCACATGAAAAAGCAGCGGCGTTGTGCCCGAAAGATGGCCATAAAAATATTTCATAAAGCACAACGCCGCTCCCACTCAAGTGCAGGAGCGTGATGTCATCGCTGAAGCACTGTGTGCAAAAGGTGCTCTTCAGACTTCACCTGTGCTCGTGTGCTTCGTGCGATGGACTGTGAGGCGACCGTGTCTACATCTACAGCCGCGACATCGGCAGCCGCGTCTACATCAACGGCGGCTTCCGCAGGCAAACGTGGCCACCCACGCAAATACGCCACAATCTCCTCAAGTGTCCTCCTCTAGGCGTTGTTCTCAACGTAGTCCTTAAGGTCGTTCTAGAGGTCATCCTAGAGGTCGTCCTAGAAGTCGTCCTACACGTCGTTCTTGACGTCGTCCCATAGGACGCCATCCTCGATGCCGTTCTGGATGTGATCCTAGACATCGTCCTTGAGGTCGTTCGAGAGATTGTCCTCGCGTCGTCCTACATGCCATACTTGCCATCGATCTCTAGGACGTCGTCCTAAACTTCAATATGTGTAGGAACAATATTCTAAAACATTTTCCCGCGGGACTGTAATGCTTTTGCCTTCCTACACCCCATAAGGAGTCTTGAGTGTCCTCCTGTAATTTTTTTTCTCTGGTGGGTGCATGTGCGAGGCATCCAATAAGGAACATACCGGTACATGTGTTGAATAAGGTAGCAGTTTTTTTTTTTATAGACGGCTTTATAGTTTGTGCAATAAATATTATTAAAACTAAAAAATTCAAACGTCTAAAAAAAAATTTGTAAACTGTCCCAAAGCTTTTATTCATAGCTTATTGATGTCCACAGTTCTTTCAGTTTGCCAAGATTTGTTTATCTTCTGATTCAAACGTTTCCATTTGTCTTTGCGCTTCCTATAATTTTTGCAGACGAAACACTCCTAACATTAAGGAGACTAAATTAGACTACATCAAAACCAAGCACATATTTGTCGTCCAATTATAGAGGCAGATAAGCTACGTAAATTTAACTTCAATTGGATGCCAAGTTATATCACATAAAGCCCTAGAAGCAGCGTTGCCCCTTCAGCATGCCCCGTTAGACGAAATCCGGGTACACCCTCCTTCTTGATGCATTACTAGGAGCCAATCACTCACTCCGTTCGCCCTTAAGCCGAGGCTGCAGTGGAAGATATCGGCCCCCCGGACCAATCTACCCTTTTACCACCCGGCCCGTCTCTTTGCACGTGGGGTATGGGCAGGAGCGTCATCATGCGACCAAAGAGAGACGTACGACTTGTCCAACAAGAGCCTAGCTTCAACTGCAGGGGGCCTCGGCTTAGGGGTGAACGGAGTGTAGTATGCGCATCGCTGTTGGAGGACCTTTGGAGGTCCTGCACCGTTCTAATGCCTCAATACTGAGACAGGGAAGAGTTCCCAGGACGTTGGTCGAGAGATACACCGAGGGTTCCGCAAAGCCAAAATCTTTGAGAACCAATGACCTAGAGTCCCGTCCGGGGAGTTAGTGGGTTAGAGTAGACCCCTCACCTGAGGGGGAGCTGCCAGAATTAGCGGCACGCGAGGAGGTACGGACGCCGGCGGCACCATCACCGGCATCGCCGCCACCCACGTGGCCGACCGGCGACACCACCCCGCACTCACTTGGGTCCAGCAACAGCGGCAGCCCGACGTCGGACTCACTGCAAAGGGGGAGACAAATTAGGAAAACGCAGTTTTACCGCCGCGGTCGCAGGCTGCGACGGAGCCTGGACTGCACCTTAAGGGCCGACAAGCGGCCGGAAAGAAGGAAGCTCTTCCTTGATTCCTCCTTCCCGATCGAGAAAGCGGCTCAGGGACCCGTTCAAGTGTCGAAGGGAGGAGAAAAGAGTGAAAGAGGGAACGGAAAAGAGGAAACTGGGAACCAGCTTTCTGCTGCCCAGCAGATTCCGCAGGTCGGCCTTTACGGCCAGCTCAGGCGGTTGACTGTGATCGACTGCTTGTGACAGCTTAAGGGGGGATAACACACTGGCACTAGTAACTATCGGGTAGCCCTGTTACACTTTATATCTGAAATACATTTTACGCATCCTTTTGTGTACCATAGCCGATCACAGTCAAGCGCATTGTTCGTCAGGCGCATTTAAGTTGTTTGTCTTACCAAAAGGGATGCAGAAACCACCTCATTCTTTTGCAAAATTGTGATTCCGTGGCGTAATAGAAAAGCAAAGAATGGAAATATTTAGCGATTCGCAGCCGCGGGGTGGCACTTGTGGGGACTAAAGCGTGACGCACACCTCGGTGCTTTGTAATAAGTTGACAAGATGTGCCATTATGTGCTCAATCTAATGTGATATTTTATGAATATTGTTGTTTCAATGTGAGTAAAAGCATCAGAAACCTCGCACCATCAACAAAATAAATAAATAAATAAACAAAGTTGTACTAAATTCAGTTTTAGTGGCACCATCTGCTTGAGATGAAAAAGCTAGGTATCCCTCCTTTGAGCCTCACCCCGTTGCAATTACTACCTTACAACGAGGCAAGCGCTTTCCCGCACTTTCCAATATGGCGTGATGTAACTAACGGGGAGGTTTGTGGCTCTAGTAGGCGGTCAAGAAAACGGAGAACACGAGCACTCATGTGTCGGGTGCACGGGCCTGATGAATGCCAGGCCAGATCAAGCCTACCTATTTGGGTATTGTCTCTCACCTATACCTTCAGTATTTAACAATATTGCACGTTACTTTTGTGTTAATGAGTGTGAAGTGGGCTTCCACAGCGTTTATTTCACAGCATCCAACTTCTTAGTACAGTCTCATTAATTCAAAATCCTGGAAGCCATAAAGTTTGTTTGAATTATCGGAAGTTTGAATTATCAGCAATTCATCTAAATATGATGCAAGATAAAATTATGATTTACCGTATGAATGGCAACACATACAAAGTAGTAGGTATTGAATGATCTTCTCTGCATAGGCCTACTGATCATAAGCAGGTATGTCACACATGAATCATTTGCGAAATGCATGACATATGTTTATTTATCCCTCAAAAATGCTGTTTATTTTGTACTCCTTAGACAGCACATGTCAACTCAAAACAAAATTAAGTTTGTTCATCAGGTCAAGAAGTTGTCTAATGGGAACTATTAAGCAGGGAACACATGAGCAATGAAAACGGGCACCACGCAGCAGTTTTCATAATGACTTGCGCAGACGCTGTGATGCGGACCTGTGCCATGCTGCCATGTCACAGCGTACTTGCAAGTTGCCATGGAAATTTCCACGTGGTGCCCGTTTTCATAGCTCATCTGTGCCCTGCTTGAGCCCCGTTGAGTTCACTTCTCACCGAGGACCGGTGCAGTGCGGAGAAGCAACACCCACAGAAGCAAGCTCACCGGTGTTGCTACTGCAACGCACCAGTGCTCGGAGAAAAGCGCACTCAATGGGCCGTGAGAACAAAAAGGATGAATAACACGAAAACGCCGCTCAAATTAAGCGGTCTATGAATACATTAAAAAAAACATAGTGGGACAACCAAAATTTTGAAATTTGTTTGAATTAACCAGAAGTACAAAATATCCGAGTTTGAGTTATTGCGAGCCCACAATCACTTGGGAACAAGTTCTACTAACGAAACAAAGAACCTGTGCCTGCCGCCAGCATCGCTTTTTCAGTGTTGCCAGTCATAGCGTCGCGAGAAAACAAAACATATTTCTACATAATACTTCGGTTACAGGTTCAGCCCTGTCTATTGATGTGTTTAGCCAAATTTAAGACAAATAGGAAATCACGAAAAAAAAAAAAAACGACAGAGTAGTACTTGTTAGAGCAGAATGGACTTCACATGTCACAACCCCGCCCCCCCCCTTAGGGTGACAGTTTTTGTCAAGAGCGAGTGGAGATTAGACTAGATGTCCAAGTCGCTTCGACTCACTCCAGGTGCGCCTCCTTCTGGAAGTGGTTCAGGAGCTCCCGGATCACCCTGGACGTGAGCACGTTCACCAGAACATCCTTGCGGCCAGACCCGACGTCTTCCACGAGACCCTCGGCCTCGCTCTCGCGGCACAGGGCAGAGTGCACCCAGGTCAGCGTGCTCTCGTCCTGGGCGTCACAAAGGGGAAGGTGACGATGAGTCGAGGTTCCCTGTTCGGTCCTTCGTCTTTTTTTACGCAAGTCTGTTGGATTGTAGAAAAGCATGTACTTGGGCTAGTTAGCATGGCATACTCCGAGGATTACAGCTTTTCGATGCTTGAATCCCCAGGGTAAGGTTGCAAACCCGCCATCGGACAATCGCTGGGAATATAGGGATTTTTGTTGCGATACCTACAGACGCTTTTCACGCATCGGTTGCTCGAGTTGCCACCAGCCGGCGCGCCCTCCATGCCACAACTGCTGATCTCCGTGTGTCGTACTTGTTTCTGACCCTATCCTCGCCCTCAGCTCATTTTATTTCTCTTCCTAGACATGAACCAACTAGCCCGCCAAAAGGTGTCACTAATCTCCAAATCTGATCGCACCTGCTCTTCCAGCCTGCAGAATGCAATGCTTGTGGCCACCAGCGTGCTACGGGCTCACACAATGGGGACACGTATGCCCGTCCAGTCGGAAAAACGTGGTTGGTGGTCGCTCGCAAAAACAGCAGTGGTGGCATTAATGACTCGTACCACACTGTGTGCACTAAACATGCCCCACTAGCGCCCATAAACTCTTCATGCTTAATGGCATGTTCGATGCACCGACTTTCCAGTGGCATTTTTGATGCACCGATTCCCCAGTGGCATTTTCGATGCACTGATTCCCCAATGAAAAGAAGAATGAAGAATGGCATGGACAATATTGCTTCAACACGTTAATGGCCGTGCCATCGAAGTACCGATGGTAAAGCGGAGCTGGTCAATCGCGAGCGATATGACTAATTTACGCATTTTACGCCGAACTTCGTCTGTCGCCTGTTTTTACAAGTGAAGAAATCGTCTGCACAAGGAATTGTGAGGGAAGTACACATTTACTCTAATGCCCTAATAGTTTTTGCAAGAAGCATGATTGTTGCACCATTCGTGCCAGCTTGCTTACTGTGCTACATCCTGCTAAATTTCAGCAAAATGTGAGAAATTCGCACCAAAATTGTTTCTTAAGTCAATTCCACTTCTTGTTGTTGTTACACGGCGGATTGTTGTGGTGAGGTAATGCAAACTGTCAAAACTTCTGATTATCACTCATTGAATATCAGATCACATCCTTGTGGCATCGATCCAACTAGCAGTTCAATCCCATTCAATAAATAAAAAAGAAAAAGCTAGATACGTCTTTTTGCTGACGACATAATCATGTACACCAAAGTAAGATTGATCGCAGATCGAGAAGAACTCAGTGCTGGTTTAAATAAAGTGAATAAGTGGTGCGAGGAGTGGCAAATGTTGTTAGACTTCAATAAATGTGTATATATGCATATAACGTGGAAAAAAACCACTTCCCTTTTTAACTACAATGTGCGTGATCACCCCCTTGCACTAGTTACGTCATATAAATACCTTGGAGCCATTATCACGAACGATCTACAATGGAGCTCCCCATATCACGCATCTCACACGCCTTGTATTAAATAAACTTTGGTACTTAAGAAGAAACCTGAAATCTGCATCATCCACCGTTAAATTAGCAGCATATAAAAATTTGTTAGATCAGTTCTTGAGTATGCTGATAGAGTATGGGACCCATTTACAGCATCTAACATTAATTCAATTGAAAAAGTGCAAAGAAGAAGTGCTTTATTTGCAATAAGTACTCTCGCACTGACTCCGTAACAGAACTCTATGCGATCGCTGGCCTTCAACCCTTGAAACTTACACACAAAATTAATGGACTAAAATTTTCGTTTAAAGGGGCCCTCCAAGGACCCCTTTAAACAAAAAGAAGCTGAAGGAAAACAACAGAATCCTAATTCTCCCTGCTGACAAAGGAAATGGCACAGTGGTGTTGAACCGCGCTCTGAACTGTGAGAAGAAGGTGCACAAACTTCTGAACACCAAGGTGCACACGATGCTACCAAAAGACCCAACATCAAAAATCCAAGGAATCTTAAAAAAAACACTTTACCCTCTCTTCAATAAATATCCGGAGTCTCTCAGGCCCTCTACCTGAATTTCATCCGCTGAAACGGCTCTACCCCTGCGTTCTACGGCATACCGAATATTCGCGAGCCTGGAATCTCGCTCTGCCCTATAGCCGACTTCACGACGCCACCAATACGAGAGCCGTCAAATTATTTCCATCATCTGTTCCTTCCACTCGTGGGAAAGACCAACATGCGTGCCGAGAACACCGTCCACTTCGTCGAACTCGCTTCGGATCTGACTTTAAACGATGCTGAGAGCCATGTTTCCTTTGACGTGGTATCTCTCTTCACGAGTATTCTCATTTGACTCGCGGCGTCCGTTGTCAGAACGGAGCTTCCCTCAGACATGACCCTGCCTGAAAGAAACCACCTCTCGGTCAATGAAACATGCTGCCAGCTTGAACTGTGCCTCACAAACAAATACTTTTCTTTCGCTGGTCACTTCTACGAGCAGAGTTGTGGCACAGCCATGGGTGCCGCTGGGTCCATCACAGTAGCCAACCTCACAATGGAAGCTGTAGAGCAAAAAGCCATAAGCACTTTCTCCCACGCAGCCACCCTATTTCTATGTTGCATGGATGATTGCTTTTGTGTTGTCAAGACCAGAGAAGTTGACCGCTTTCACAAACACCTCAACTCCGTCGAAGCATACATCCAGTTCACAGTCGAACGCGAGTCGATCGGCTGGCTTCCATTTCTGAATGTGGCTGTGAAAAAAGATAGGAAGTTATTTAACTTTCCGGGTATACAGTCCCCGCAACTCGACTTGGTCGTCTGCGTTGCCGTCCGCCATGGACTCTGGCAAGTTTATGGCCATATTTTTTCACAGAAAGAGAACTACACTTAGTAATTTTACAAAAAAAAAACCGACCTGTGAAACACACCTTGGACAAAAAGGTTAGATTGCTTTGCGGAGGCGCCGATTTTTACGATCCATTTTAGATTGAGCCTGGTGACTTCAGACACCCTATAGACAGAGAGAAAAACCAGAATACATATACACCTAGACAAGGCTAGTTAGTATAGGATGTAAGGACGTGACACTAGTTTTAAAGGGAACAATCTCGAATTTTTGCACGGGATGGAGTTGGGGGCAGGAATATATGCATAGGCACACGGACAAACAGACACAAAGACACGGAAATGACAACTGGAAAACATTTAAACTGAAAGACAACCGCCCCTCTATGCTGCTTTTTTTCCCCTTCTGTTTTGACAGCTACATAAGCGTGTTCCTATATGCGCTCCAGGATATATGAACATGAGAAGAAGCGTAGCTCGGAAACACGTTGCTCGTCCGTTCCAGCTCGTATAATCCATGGCGCTAGGCATACGGAGGTACCTGGTTCGAAGTGGAGAAACCATTGGTCTCGATGACCTCCATGAGCCTGTCCAAGGTTACGACGCCGTCGTCACGGCCGTCGCACAGATAGACGATGCGGTGCAGCGCGTCGTGGATCGGAGACGCCAGGGGCTTGGCGCCGAGTGGAGGCGCCTCCACGGTTCCCTCGCCCTCAAACAAGTCCTCTTCCGAGCTCGCATCCTCGGTGACCGGCGGGGGATCCAGGGAGAAGACCATGTCGTGCGAAGTCGTCTCATCGCCTTCCATCCGTGCGAGACGCGTGAAAAGGCCTAACCCATCGTCTGCAACGACAAGTAAGACCTGTGAGAGGGATGGCGGTGCAATCGCTCATCAGAGCCGCATCAGTGTCCGAGCATGACCGAGTGTGCTACTATGGCTTGCGACTACGTACGAGAGAATACAACTGGCGCCCTTCCTCATAAAGCCCTGGAACAGTTCCGGTCAGCGCATAACTATAGGGTGTCTTGAGCAGACCTTCCGCCGTAAAACGAGCTGGAAAGATCGGCGCCTGCACATATGAAGCTCAAACTGTCAACGATGTGCACTGAGCAGGTCAGTCTTGATGCCTAAAAAAAACAAGAGCAACAAACTTGTCGAAGTCAAGGTTGGGCACGTTTGCAGACGCCCGAGTCATTGATGCCATTTACCTGCGGCGCCATCTCTTGATGGGCACAGCAATCAGACAACACACTCTGTTGTCTGCTCACCGCGCTTGTTCGGGAGATGGTGCCACGAGTCAAAAGTGTCGGTAACTCAGTCATCAGCACAAAAGGGCCTAACGTGGACTTTGGCAAGTTTTTTTACAGGAAGGGAACCACACCTCGAATTTTCATGCGGCAAGACTGACCCGCTCGGTGCACGTTTGGCAAAAGCTGGAGCTTTCCAAGCGCAGGTGCTGATTTTTCTGGCTCGTTTTACAGCAGAGAAAGTCCACTAGAGACATGCCGTATAATCGGCGACAGGTTGAGTTAGATGTTTTGCCTCAAGCGCCAGCCTTCAACCTCCGATAACACTTATGTTGCACGCGCAGCCAAAGCCTGGTAGAAGGCAATGAGCACATGCTGTAGGCGGAACAACTATCAGGTTCTCAACTTGTCATCGACTATACCGACCGATGGTTTTGTGCAATTTCCGAAACCGAACATACTATCGCGAGAGTTACTCGGTTACGACATTGCCAGAAATATATTGAGCCCACAGTGAGGGAATGATGCGTAAAGAATGAGAAAATATGTGCAGATCTGAGGAGTTTCAGTGCTACCTGATAAATGGCACCAGCGTACACAAGTCGGTCACAGTCGTGCGGAAATGTCCGAGCATGTCGCCAGTGTCAATAGTGACAATTTCAAGCACTAAATATGGCTCTCAAGTCACAATGAAATTTCAGTTACTGCAACTGTAAGGGCAGGCTCGAAAGCCTGCCTTGGTCAAATCATAATGTGACTCAATCTTTTCTTTTTCTCCAGATTAGACACACTAGCTTGTTACGGAATACTTTAGAAGCTTTATAAATGTAACTTGCTTTCTCATATTTTTAGCAATATTTACTCGATGATAAAAACACAATTTTCATGTAAGTGAGGTCGCAACTTAATTACGTTGTAGCTCATCGAATACCGCGACTGTGATTTATATCAGTTACTTCTAAAGAGCAACTTCTATACAGCTCGGCATCCTTTGGTTATTCTTGCTTCGTCGCACCTCAGAGATACACCATTTCGAGATATATCAGATAGAAAACTAGCTGACCCCCAATGCAGTACCCACGCCGACACTGATACTTTCGTCTTAGCTTGTTTGCATTCCAGAAAAAGGAACGCGGTACAGATGAAATTTTCTTCCCACGCCTGCTTATATAAATAAGGTCGAGCAAGCCAGCCGTCCTCGAGTTCGGGATGCTTGGCACCCGCTTCTTTTTCGCACCACAAGCAAAATCAACATTCAAAACAGGCGTCGATTCTCGAGAGCACTTTAGGAGCCGACGCACACGCTCGAGTTGGAAAAGCGCCGCAGTTAGCTGCGGTTACCGATGTCGAACGAAGGCGATCCGCGTCAATACAGCGACGGATAAAGATGACCCGGAAGTACGGCCGTACTCACGGCTAATTCCCAGGCAGCACGAAAATGACACCTGTCAAAACCTCGGTTCAAACGAGCAAGAGCTCAAGCAAGCAACGCGCTTTTTTGTCTGCTACTTTGGCGCTTTGGCTTTGGCTGGCTGCAGGCAGCTTTCGTTCACCGGCCATTGACTTTGACTCAAGTCAGTTTCGGATGAAAAAAACACATACATGCACGCACACACAAACAAACACATAAAGCGGCACGAACGGCTGTCGTTCTGAAGCTCCAGCGTAGTGTGTCTGTGTTGTTGGCGTTTTGTGGTGGCGCGTTTAGTGACGACGAGTAATAAAAAGTGAACGTTACCGTGAGAATGAAAGCACCGCCGCCTCGCGATTTGGCGGGTGGCAGGAATGCGACCTCGAAAGCGTGCTCCTTTGCCGCGCTGTTTTCTCCCTTTTTTGTTACTAAAACGGAGTAGTAAAAGGGACAACAAAAATAAACGGACACGGGCGAAGAGAGATTATGCGGGGACCGGTCCTGCTACAGACCGCCGGCCATTTCACACGGCGGACAAGGAGTTGACCGGCAGAAAAAATATCGTCTGCTCCGGCAGAGTTCCCTAGGGTTCCCTAGGACTCGCCGGTATTCCCTATCTTGTCTTGTTTCGGGGAATACAAAACGGTTTTAGGATGCTTGAATGAGTGCGTAGAGGTACGATGTCTGGAACGAGCCTCCGACTAGTCTGTTTACCGTCCTAATCTGCCCATGCATCGAAAGTGTTCCCGAATTGGCAACAAATGACGTCATAAAAGCCAGAGTGTCACGCTGTTGGATGTCATGATCCTGGCGGTTGGTCGTAGAAAGGCTGGCGAAAAGTGCGAGCGAAAGTGCTTTTCGCCAGCATTTCTTCGTGCGAAAAAAAAAAAAATCATACGAGTGTCATTCAACGTTTTATAAAGCTATCTTTTAGGCGGTGCATTTATCAAACTCAAATTTTATGAGAGTTCTTAGGGAAAAAGATCTCAGCTTAAAACAAAATCTTGTGAATTTTTGTGTGTTTTTCTTTTTGTGCCCAGAAAGGAAACCGGTAAAAACTCACAGGTAGCACAACATTTGAAGCGAAAACGTGAAAGCTTCTTCAAGATTAACACCCGAAAACAGATTCAGCAGATCGTATCTGGTATCACCATTGAGTAGCTGCGTCAACCAGTAGGTTTGCTTCTGTTGTTCCTTCCTAGATGAATATATGAAAAAAGCGAAAGCTTAAATTTTTTTCCTGAGCCCCCCTTATCATGAAATTCGAGTATGAGAAATGCACCACCTCGAGACAGCCTTCTGAAAAGCTTCAATGCACTTTGTTTGTTGGTTTATGTAGACGATTTTTCTTTTAAGCCAGAGTAGCGCTCGGGAACACTATATTGTCATAAACAATTAAGATGGTTTCTCCTTAGCCTCAGAATATGAGTACAACATAAGACGCGAGTTAATGCTGCGGCACAGCATACAGTCAGTCAGCCGCGCCAAAATAATGTTGGCTGGACCCAGTGGCGGATTCAGAGAAGCTGTCTGGATGTCCTAACCCCACCCCCCTTTAATTCTGCATGTGTAAAATTTTAGGGCGGGGAAACGAGGGGAGGGGGGGGGGGGTTCTAAAAATGTAATACGCTGACCCCCCTTTCCCTTCCCCCACCCTCTCTGGAAATGCCTGCGTCCGCCCCTAGCTGGACCCGTGCTTAAAACTATCCCGCAGAAATAATAAAAAAAAAATGTTTTGATATTGTTCGCATTTTATTTTATGTTTTCTATGCGCATTTGTGCTGTAGTGAAATAAATGCAAAAAATGAAAGACGTTTACAATCACGCGGTTATGCCGACGGCGACGGCGACGCCGCTCAACCCGGAAACGGGCGCCTAAGAGATGCGCTCTAAAAATAAAATGAAAGACGTTTACAAATCTCTGTAATGCGAAATTAGAGCGCAGCTTTTGTGGAGGAGGTGGGGAAGGAATGCCCCTCCTCCTCCTCCTCCGTACCATCTCTTCCTTTCCCCCTCCTCTCCCCACTCCTCCTCCCCCTTTTCCCAGTTTCCCCACTAAATTTAGCTGAAAAAATTGACGCCACGTGACCGCAACAGCAATTCAATTCCCCACTAAATTTAGCGGAGAATCGAATCGTCACGTGTCACGTGACGTTAATTTTCCCTCTAAATCTAGTGGAGAAACTGAATTTGTTCATAGGTGACATGACACCGAGTTATGTGACGTCATTTCCCCCGCTACATTTAAAGGGGAAACTGAATTGGTGTTCAGTTCACGTGACGTCAATTTTGCCGCTAAATCTAGCGCGATTAAGCCGACGGAGACGCCGATGCCGCGAAACACGAAAACGGGCGCCTAGGAGCTGCAATCTAAAAAATCACCAAGCAGGAACCATTTAGATCGGGCTGAACACGTGCAAAACGTGTTGCTCTTCGAAGCACATCGGATTTCTTTCTGCATTCCACTTCTATCGTCACTTAGATAACGTCCTATTGCAAGCAAATCAGAACGCGAAAGAAACAAGCAAAAACTAGTAAAAAGTAATGTATGATTGCCAGCGAATGAGAGCGTGAAAAAAAGCTAACTAAAAAATCGAGTCATAAAACTTGTGCGTGCGCAGCAAAGACGAGGGCGGGACTGGACACAAACGAAGCGCAACTTCCAACCGATTTCTGTTGGAACGTGTCCGGTGTTTGTAGTCAACCCTCGTCACAAAATGCAACACAAAACAACCATCACAGGGAATGCTCAAGGTATACAACATTATCTCGATCTCAGGAAAGGAAGTTCCTTTTCAGACTGCGCCATCGAAGGCATAGCGATGCATGTATCGCCTAAGCCCTAAGTAATCAGTGCGTTCGGTTTCTACAATTTCACGTGTTAATTTATCGAACAGTGGGGCACAACCGCATGCTCTGCAGTGTATGTCAAGAAAGCCACTGCTGTATTTTTGCACGTTGTTACAGTGTTTGCAAAACCAATAGTTTGGGCAGCTGTTTTTTGTTGTTTTTTTTTTGTTTGTTTTTTGTTTCTATGTAGTACGGTTAGGGTTACACGAATAAAGAGTAGTTAATTAAACTGTACTTTAAACGATAATTCTTTTGTTCTGCCTTGGTATCAATGATCGGAGGGATTGATCAATCAATCTGCCATGTTTAAAAATACATGTGGTCCTTTCTCTAG